AGTCACCAAGCCCCGCCCACCTGGACCCACCATCCAAACCTTTACAGGATTTGGTTTCTCTGAGTGTTTTTACCTGAACTCTACTTTATTTTTATTGGATCACTGAGATAATCAGTCAGGAGAGAGGCTCAGAGCCTCCTCTCTTCTGATTGGCTCACCGACCTGTTGTTACTAGAGCTCCAGAGAGAAGCCTGAGAGAGGAGATGTAAAACAACACTGAGATGGTTTTTGGTTGGTTAAATATCTTCTTATTCAACAGTTATTTCCAACCAAGTAATCTGATTGGACGAGTCCATGAGTGCTGATATAGAGTACAGCAGCACTGGGACTTTTAACTACATGTATCACTCACAGCTTCACTCCCTAATTAGCGTCACATTAACGGTCGTTATCTCTCTTAGATTGTAACAAACTTTGCAGATGAATGTATTTCCAGTTGCCGAGTCGTGAAACACAGAAGATATGAAAGAAAAACGTGTTTGTCTCTCGCAGCTCTGAAGCTCGCTGAGAAGTTACTGAGATTTTCCACAGAGAGCAGAAACGATCAGCTGTTAACCAATCAGAATCACACCTGCACCGGAGCCCGTGTCACCAAACTCTTATGGAAACACACAAATAAATTTACATACAAAGTCGCACTGTGCAGGTCAGGAAAATGTTTAAATGTGTTGCTTAGCAACAGTACAGTGACCAGTCCAGTTGTGGTGTAGCCAATTAAATGATGAAATAAACAAACTATTCATAATCTGTTGTTGCTTATTTAACTAATGATGGATCAAGGCTTTAAATAAAACACAGGAAGTATAAATATGTGACCTTTAAACTACAGCATTCAAATAATGTAGAACAACACGTCCCTCAAAGAGCCGTCGTCACAGATACATCTCATTCGTGATGAATTTACTTCAGTAATCGTTCTGAGAGTTGGTTTCCATTCATGATGTAGTTTCTAAATGTGTAAACGTGGATGAGGATTAATCGTTAACTTGTCTGTGTCTTGTTGAGTCCTGATTATCTCAGTATGTTGTTTATCCTGATGAATGTTCACAGTGAGCACAGACTGAAGCTCCTCTGTGGAAATCTGCTGCATCATTCACTGATGCAGACTTTTCCACCGTGTCCTCGGGGCAGAGCCATTTACAGCGCCGAGCTGTTGTCTGGCCTGTGGACGCATCGATTGGGCTCATATTTCTGGCAGCTGCTGCTGCTGCTGCCATGATGCCCCGCAGCAAAGATCAGGAGCTAATGTTCGGGTTAACAAGCACCACTGGGCCGCCTCGCTCACAGGGCGAGCGGGGCACAAATCACAAGGCGAGATGGCAGAGTGACAGACAGGAAGCAGCTCAGAATATCTGCAGCGAAAACAAATAAAGCTAAAACTGCTTTTATTTATCTGTATTTATCTGTAATCTGTATTATTTATCTGTACCAATCAGCAGTGCCCCCCCCCCCGCCCCGCCCTGAGACCTGAACCCTCACACACTTAACTGACGGCACTGACGGCACTTTGTGACATATGGCGTTACCTTGACGACGCCAAAACATGTGTACAATTGTGGGTTTGTGACTTCTGGTTTGTTGTTTTATGTTTTATTTGCTTCCTGTTTGTAACAGAATCAGATCTGATGAGAGCTGACTTTGAATTTATCATCATAACTACACACTCTCTGAGTCACACACACACACACACACACACACAAACACACAAAACACACACACACACACACACACACACACACAAACACACACACACACACACACACACACACACACACACACACACCTTTCATGCCCGTCTGTTCACCGATCTTCTTCTATCTTCTTTTCATTCTGTTTTGTGGCGGTTGTTTACCATTTTTTAATGCTTCTGAGTGCCCCCTGGTAACCATGGCAACCCCATGTTGAAAATCACAACAGTATGAACTCTGGGTAATTCCCTCTGGCAAAGTCTGCAGAAATGTAGACCTTTGGAAAGTCCAGAGCCCTCCTGGACCAGGAACTGGGAACGCACCTCAGAGTCTGAGTCCATCTGTCAGGGTCGACCTGTGTCTCAGCTGCGGTTTAATTCTAAACCAGTCCATGATCCCAAAGTTTCCACTCAACAATAACAAACATGTCAGGTTGAATTTTGACACACACACGCCATTTATACATCAGTCATACAGTTATAATAGCGTCGCCAGATTGGAAAAACTTTAGGGTGAAAGTCCAGAGATGCAGATGTTGCTGCTACAAAACAGAAACAAGAACATTGGAACAATTTCATCCTTAAAAGACTAAAAACCATTTGAAAAGGTCCTTTAGTGGCTGCTGCAGGGCTCATTTCAGAGTGTTCTCCAGACACTTTCTGATCATGAACGCTTCGTTCTTTAAAAGGAAAATCACCGGAGACACACTGAAGAGCTCCTTTTGAAAATGCAATTCATATTTCCGCCGTGTCCCCGTGTTCGTCCGTGATCAGAATCCCGGCCTGTGATTTCATGCAGGTAACTCGGGGGAATTAACTGTTTATTAGACACAGCCCAGCTGTGATTTGTCATTTTTATGTGAGCTCAGGCTCATTTCCTGCAGCCTGGACTCATGAGGGGAAAACCATGGAAGTGGAACTCATCCTGAATATTGATGAAGAACCTGCTGCATCCAAACTAACTGTCCTGCTTTTTACGGTTTGTACCTGAAGTAATCGTCTCCGACCGGAGTTGAATTACTGGAAACGGGAGGAGCCGAGAGGCTGAGAGGAAAAGGATAAAAACTGATTCTATTTACAGGAAGTAAATTCACACACGTCAATAACAGGCTTAAAAGGGAATCCTTCAATGAACACAGCTGACTGAGCTGTTCAGTAATTACACACATCCCAGAACTGCAGATGTCCAGGAACCAATCAGAGAGAAGTGTGTTCTCACCTGGATCCTATTGATTTAAGTGGTTAAAGCACTACAGACGTCTACGGAGGGAAAGTGGTTTGTGTTTATGTTGTTAAAGGAGACAGATCTATAACTTTAACTGCCATAAAAATATATTTATGTTTTCATTTGATATGTTTTCTTTGCACACATTAATTATATGGTTTATCTTTAAGAGTTTTCCTTTATTTGTATTGGCTCTATGCAGGAGGTAGGAACTATGTTTGCGCCTGTGTTTACATGGGGACACTTTGAGTTGTAACAGGTTAAAAAGTGACGAATTGCACGTTTTTAAAATGGTGCGTTTATTTACAGGCTTATGTGTCGTTGTGTATGTTCATATTTATGTTTCTGTTTGTAAGAAATTAAACACACATTCATATTACAACAATGTTATGTATCTAATTAGTGTGACGTGGTGGCGTTGGAGATGATGGTGGCGTTGGATGTGCAGAAGATGAATAAATCCATCAGTCACAGTAAATCGAGGTGTCGTCTATTTCCTGGAGGGAGTGACAATAACTTATAATCATCTTTATATGAAGCTGTGAGTTCAGTTCTTTGAAGTCAGCTGTCTCTGTATCATTGGCTCAGTCATGCAGCATCTGTGCAGACACCAGCTGACCAGTAACATCCAATCACATTCATACAAGTACCAATTTTAAACTTTTCACCGTTGATCTTTAAAGAAAAAACGACAAACATTTGCTGTTTTTTGTTTCACAAACTGAATATATTTGAGCGTCAAAACCACAGACTGTAAATAAAGATGGAGATCCCCTCTGTGACATCACCCACAGGTTTCTGAAGCTCAGAGTGAGCTGCTCCACCATCGCCATCTTAGCAGTGTCTGACTCCCAGCTAATCCAAATATGATCAAAGATTAATCAATAATGTCAGTTTGTAGAGCTGAAACTACAAATATTACAGTAATACAAGGCCTCCTCTTCTATTTATTGGACCATTCAAGCATACATTTTTTAAAGAACAAGAGCCCTGATGGAGCGGGACCTGAGGACAGTCACATGGTACAAACTGACCCTGGGATAAAGAGACCTTAGGCAAAATGCAGCCCATCAAAGCAGAGAGAGAACAGCAGCATCGTGCTTCACCACTGAACAGACAGACACAGTCAAACAAAGAAGCAACCATGACATCTTTGTTGTGTCACCTCTCTCTCTCTCTCGATCTCCATATTTCCCATCAACCTGTGTTACTATCAATCAAGGCTAACAACATCAAAACACAACGACACAGACTCACTGTCTGCTTCAAGAACACGTGTTTATAGCTCCATCCAGTGTAAAGGTCTCTGTCCATGTGTAGTGTGATTATAGATCAGGTCTAGGTTCTATATTAATACTGTGAAAGTATCAAAGCCTCAGTCCACAGAGAAATGCACACAGCCTGTATTCAGAAACTGAGCCTTAAAACCAGCCGTCAGGACTTCTGGAACTTTGTGATGTCACAACAAAGCAGTCACCAAGCCCCGCCCACCTGGACCCACCATCCAAACCTTGCAGGATTTGGTTTCTCTGAGTGTTTTTACCTGAAATCTGCTATATCTTTATTGGACCACTCAGAAAACAGTCAGCCAATCAGAAGAGAGGCTCAGAGCCTCCTCTCCTCTGATTGGCTCACAGACCTGTTGTTACTAGAGCTCCAGAGAGACGCCTGAGAGAGGAGATGTAAAACTACACTGAGATGGTTTTTGGTTGGTTAAATATCTTCCTATACAACAGTTAGTTCCAACCAAGTAATCTGATTGGACGAGTCCATGAGTGCTGATATAGAAAACTACACTGAGATGGTTTTTATATCTTCTGATGGATCAACACTTCAAATAAAACACAGAAGAAGCTTTAAAACAAGCTGTCGGGACTTCTGTGACTTGTCACAAAAACACTGGAAAAGAGGAAAATATGGACCTTTAAAGGAAAGTTAATAATGCCATCAGTGTCAAAATGTCTCCTTAGACATATCAACTCAGAGGTCTGAGACCTGCAGCATCGGTCTCCACCTGTGAAAGCTTCTAGTTCTTTCACTGCCGAAGCTAACAACAGGAAACCAAGCGGCAGCAGTCAGGTGACTCACCTCGGCCATCGTTCTGGATGTCGGACAGGATGTGGGAGTAGTTGATGGGCAGCTTGTTCTCCTCGAACACTCTGTCCTCCAGCGTGATGTTGATGCTCTTCAGCTCCGTGTACAGACCCTCCACGGCGAAGTAACACGGCCGATCATCCACCTTGTTGTCGTTGAACATGAGCATCACGTGTTCCCGCCATCCGAAGTGCTCACAGATCCTCAGGGCGAACTTCCCCAGCTTCTTGTGGGTGGGGCCCGTGTTGGTGATGGACGGGTAGACTCCGCCGTAAAAGGCCACGGCCGGAGCGCCCGCTGTAACCATGGGAACATCCCAGTGGGTGGTGAAGAGACCAACAGGGGAGGAGGTGTAGGAGCAGCCAGGCCCGATGAAAGCCCACGGGTCATAGGCGAGTTTCAGGTCCACCGCCATGAGCGGGGCGATGGACTCTGAGCAGATGCCGTCCTTGTCTTCACTGTTCTTGAAGGCGTAGGTGAGGTGGTGGTCAGGGAGCAGGGTGGGGTCGGCGTTGACGGTTTTCACAGCGCGCTCCAGGGCGGGGCCGATGCGAGGCCACGCCCACGGGTAGTCAGTGTTGCTCTGTGGTAAAATGATGGCAAGCGTGATGTTCTGCTGCGCCCGGTGCTCGTGGTGCCCTCGAGTTTGGCGCCTCAGGCTGTGGTGTTGACTCGTTCGCCCGGTGACCGGGTGCAGGTCGAGCAGGACCAGCAGAACCAGCAGGAGGGTGGCGCCCTCCTTCCAGCACGCCATCCTCTGCCCGGCAGGTAGTCCACTTGCACCAGCGCTGAATTATTTATCCCTGTGACCTGCAGACAGACACGAGGGAGACGTCAACAACACATGCAACACAAATGAAGTCTTGTGGTTTCAGCTCCAAGACTGATGCATGTTTCCTCCTGTAACTAAGATCTAATAAAGCTGCTCCAGTCCGTCACGCTCGAAGTCACAGCAATAATTTTGTCGACGTCAGTCCTGAGTGACCTGGTTAGTTTGAGGCCACGACGAGTCGTGGGAGAAAAACTCCCCGAAGCTGAAGAATGAGAGGACGGCTTTCCTGCCCGCCTCACACAAGACTGAGAGTATCACACTGAAAGTAAAGAGTGTTTTCTCAAGTGCAGCCACGACTCACGGACACACTGTCATCCTGTCATGAAAAACAGGAAAGATCTGATATCCACCTCAGAAATGACAGATTTAATGTCACTGAGAGATTCAGCCTTGTTAACTGATGATGATGATGGTTTTATAATGACTTTTGTTTTTCAAAATAATTCATCCAAGAAATATATCTCATAATTAAAGCTGACAAAAATATATAATAAATATATAGAAATATAATCAACCACTGATTTAGGTTTTCAAGTTATGTACCAAAAAAAAAGCAGGTAGAAACGATCTGTATATTATATTTTTCTTTATGAATTTAACAATAAAATGGATCAGAATTCTAATCTGCTTTCAGATGGAGAATCAAGTCCTCAGTTATAGTGAAAACTTCATCAGTGTCGTCATGATTACAAATCATTACAGTTCTCAAAAAGGTGGGAACCAACTCAGTACATTTACTCAATATATTTCACATTTTTCATTTAGATTTCCTGAGAATTGTTTGCAAATATTGTGCGTTTTACTCTGATGGCTATAGTTGATTATTATTTTCCAACACAGCTGCAATAATTAGTTGTTAATTGATTGGTTTGGTTCATTTTGATCAATTAAGACATATTTTAAGCAAAAAGAAAATGTCAAAAACTACCTGGTGAAAGTTTCTCAAAGGGGAGGATTAGCTGCTTTCCTCTGTTTTAACTGAATCTCCTCGGACTCTGGACCTTTGATGATGTCAGGACTCTGATGCGACCAAACGAATAATCGATTAATCTGTAAAACTAACAGCAGGTTAACTGATAATGAAAATAATCGTTAGCTGCAGCCCTGCAGTGGTGGCATGTAACTAAGTACGTTAACTTACATTTACAAAGCTGAATTATTCCATCGTAACAGAGCTGTAACCAACAGTTATGTTCCTTTATCAATACATCTGTACTGTTAATCTAATAATTGATTGATCAGGTGATAATAGTTGACTGATGAATGTAAACTTGTTACCATAGGAACAGCGGTTACTTAACTTAACAAAGGTGCACCTTTGATGCTGAACAATTAAAACTCATAGATGGAGGAAATTAACACGAACTGGTCGATTGTTTTAGACTGAACTTTGTTTTAATCTGTGTGAACTGAACTTTGAACTTTGAACACTGCTGGTTGGTCTCCAGGTGACTGAGGAAATACTGAGGTGGTCATGTGTGGTCGGGGTGACTGGGGGTCCTAACAACACATTTCTGCCCCCGGGGCTCCATGTCAGGTTGATCCGGCCCCGACACCGGGCTGCTTTACTGTCTCTGTTATGGATTGACATGCTGCTTAAAAGCATCATTTCCCTGCGGAAAGAAACGTCAATTATCCTCTCAAATGTAAATCAATACAACCTATAAAATGATATCACTTTCTGCTCTGTACCTCAGCGGGTGTCGGGTTTCCTCTTCATGCTGTTGGGCAGTTTTTTTGCTGGTTTTTAAACGGGGGGTGGGGGGTGGGGGGCTGGTGATAAAAGGGTCCGACTCAACTACCCATTGCCCGCAAGCAGCAGCCCTGTCAGCAGGCTGCTCAGCGCGCTGTGTCCTGTCACTGCGAGTCTGGATGGAGGGAAACGTCCAGGAATATGTCCGGTAATATCAGGAGAATGAATCAGGGAAAATTCTCTCTTGATTTAAAGAAAGAGAGGTGAAGGAAAAGTCGTTTTTATTGGAGTTTAAAATAGGTTACTGTCGTTGGAAAAAAAAAGCTAAATATATTTATATATATTCCATGAATCACAGTCAAGGTGTCCATCATGTCTCAAACTTCACCTGTGCCGCCACATTCCTCTTCATGTGTTTTAAAGTCGGTTTAAAAAACACGTTAAAATCGGATTAATCCACATTATCCACAGTGAATGAGCCGCGTCTAAATCCAGGTCAGATTAAATGTTGAAACGTTCAAATTCAGCAGGTAAAGTCCGTTAAATGTAATACAAAGGAGTTTAAGGCTGCCCGCGAGCTCCACAGGTGAATATTCGACTCCGCTTAACTCGCTTCTTTATATCCATCCGCGCAGGTTAATGAAAACGTGAGAACGGTTACGCCGTTTGTGTTGTCGGTGGTGGTGTTAGTCCGCTGCTGTAGGACTGAGAGACGCCGGACTGACTGAGAGAGAGAGAGAGTGGTGTGTCTGGGTAGAGAGAGGGGGGGGGGGGGGGGTAGGAAGGAAGGAAGGAAAATGAGAGGGGAGAGGAGAGAGGGAAAAGAGGGGGAATGAGAGGGCGGAAAACAATTAAGGGAGGGGTAGAGGAAAAGGTGTTGTTTTGTTTATTTATATTTACTTTAGATAGATAGATCTATGGATAGGAACATTTGTGGTTTTAAGAACCATAACCCATCTCAGTGTAGTTTTACATCTCCTCTCTCAGGAGCTCTAGTAACAACAGGTTGGTGAGCCAATCAGAAGAGAGGAGGTTCTGAGCCTCTCTTCTGATTGGCTGACTGTTTTCTGAGTGATCCAATAAAAATATAGCACATTTCAAGTAAAAACACCCAGAGAAACCAAATCCTGCAAGGTTTGGATGGTGGGTCCAGGTGGGCGGGGCTTGGTGACTGCTTTGTTGTGACATCACAAAGTTCCAGAAGTCCTGACGGCTGGTTTTAAGGCTCAGTTTCTGAATACAGGCTGTGTGCATTTCTCTGTGGACTGAGGCTTTGATACTTTCACAGTATTGATATAGAACCTAGACCTGATCTATAATCACACTACACATGGACAGAGACCTTTAGACTGGAGGAACTTTAAAAGGTAAACAGCAAGTCATGTAGGTCTTTATAAACTAAATAAATGTGGAACTGCTGCTTTACTTTCTATTAGTCATTATTCATTATTCCTCATTGCTCCTGACAACAGATGATTGTAGAGTTTGATCAGAGTTGAAAAGTATAACACCCCATGATGACCCTGTTTTATATCCTGGATGATGTAAATAAAACACAATTTTTAACAATAACTTAGACAAACTTCTGTGATTTCATCCTCATATTTACAAAAACATCAGTCGTCAAGTGGAGATGTGTCAGTTTGTTTGGTGTGGATTATACACATTCAGATCTTACTCTGATCTCTGCAGCTGTGTTTGAATGAGTCTGTAGCTGAAATGCTGAGTCCTGCTTAGTCCCCCTGCCCCCATTATGTTTTCCTACCATTACATTTTATAGCCGTGTTATCTTCCATCAGTGCAGTCTGAGGATTATCTTGTTCCTATTGCGGCCGTTCCCTTTACAAGCACTTCACAGATCAATAAAAACAAATGCCAGCACACAATTTTAAAAAGGAAGGACAACAGGAAGGACATAGCTGCCTCTGCATACACCAACTGGATTTAATACAGACTGGATTTTATGGCTTGAATCAGGACAGATGTTTTATAACAGTCACCTTGTCTGGATGGGTACGCTGATGTCAGTAATCTACACTTTCTCGCAAAAATGTAGACAAAGAGACTGATCCCACTTTCCCGTCATTCAGTAAATATGAAGCTACAGCCACCTAAAGGACCTATAGACTCTTTTCAGTGACTACTAGATACAGAACCCCTAGAACTTCCCCAATAACCACTAGAATCTCCTAGAGTAGCAAAGAACAACCCAAAAGCCTCCTCAAAGACTAGTGCAATCACTAAGAACCTCCAGAACATCCCTAATGACCACAAAAAACCACCTAAAAGGACCTAAAGAACCTTTAAGACTTCTTCTGTTTCCTCAGTGACCACAAGAACCAGGTAACCTTAAAGAGGATCACTAGAGCCCCCATCCGGAGCCCTAGAACCTCTTTAAGGACCACTAGAACCATATTAAGTGCCCCTGCAACTTCCTCAGTGTCCATTAGAGCCTCCTAAACTAGAACAACCTAAAGAACCTCTATAACCTCTTCAATGATAAGGCACCTAAGGTAAAGCATCTCTGGAACCACCTAAAGTATCACTAGAACCATTTATAAGTCCCCTGAATCCTTCTCAGTTACCACTAGAACCTTCTAAAGGAACACGAGAGTGACCAGGGGGACCTTTAGAACTTATTTATTGACCATTACGACTTCCTAGAGAACCTCTTGTGCCAAGGTCCGCTGAAACCTCCTCAGTGATAACAGAAATCATGAACAATACCCTTAAATTACCTCTAGAACCTGTTCAGATGACCCCAGGACCCACCTTAAGGATCCTTGAAGTATCTTCAAGGACCACAAGAACACATGAAACACCTGCAGAGTCTCCTTAATGACAATTTAAACATCCTAAAGGAATATTAGAACCACCTCAATGACCACTGACCTAGAGCTTAAACAACAGGAAATAAGAATCCCAATGCAGATACGTGTGGAGACAGAAAAGGTTCAACTACAACTAGGTTCACAAGAACAGTGACAGAGACAGGAAGGAGCAGCTGAAACACACAGGCAAAGCAGGAACTTTAACAATCCTGGGCTTAATGAGGGAAAGAGGTACAGGTGTGCAGTGAGGTACAGGGCAGGTGACTCTGAGGACATCTTGTGGACAAGTGGGGAACTGCAGGTTCTGGAAATTTGGAGAGGAGGAGCTGGAAAGTTCTATATTTTTGTTATCAACAATTTGTTGTCCAAAAAATGTTAAAACCAAAACCACTGCTGTGTTTTAATGTGTCTCTGAACAGTTTCTGACTCCCCTCCTCTGTCTGTGGCTCTCGGCTCTGATCCCATTGGTTCCTACTGGAGATGTAAATTTTTAAAAACACATCAGAAATATATAGTTTCATGTTTAATAAAGACTAAAACAGCAACTCACTGAAGTTTTTAGGAAACAAACAGGAGGAAAATGTACATTTGTAGAGGACTACTTTCAGTGGCGGACTAACCCACGTTTGGAGTATTTGAAGGAAACATTATGTCCAGATTATATTTTCTGTTAAAATATTGAAGAAGTGCTGTTTTATGTCAAAAACATTGATACAGAATCAGTGAATTGTTGTTGCACTACGATATATTCTTACAGTGACTCCAGCATTATTGAACTGATTTTCTGGTTCTGTTTAGACTCTGACGGATTTGTTAAAAGGCCAGGGAAAGGTTCTGGTCTGGTTTAATGCAGCTGACGTTCACAGTGACTCCAGACACAACCTGTTTATTTACGTTACAGTTAAATACCATCTTTCCCTTGCCTTGGATTTTATCCAAATCCAGCAAAAACAGATGTAAATTAGCATGCATGCTACCATCCAACATGTTTACATTGTGTATTTTGTACTGATGTTCATTAACATGTATTGTTCCTATCAAATAAACAAATAAATAAATAACCACGCTCCCTCCTATGCATTTGCCTTTTGCCTCTCCTCATCACTTGAGCATTTAGCCACAGTGACAGTGTTTGGTCAGGAGGAAGGATCTGGTCGGCGTGGAGATGCTGAGTGGAGCCATTAACTAACACACAGTGTGGGAGTCAGGGTTTCCTCCATATAAACCCTCCACCGCTGCTTGTCTGCTGCTTCCCATCAGCGCTGACACCTGCTCTTCACTGAAGTGTGCTCCACCGAAACCAAACCTCCTCTTACCCATTACCCATGATCCTTTACTTGTTTGTTATGTTGTTCGCCAGGTGATTATTATCATTCATTATTCAATAAGGGGGCTGAAAACACTTTTATAAAGACAGAACGAGAAACACATTTTATACATCATATATATCATATACCAGAATGATATTAGAGACTGCAGCCATGTTAGCATTTTAGTTAGCAGGGGTGTGAAATATATGAAAACTGTTGCTATCCATTAGATAGATAGAACGAGAGATTGATAGATAGATAGATAGATAGATAGATAGATAGATAGATAGATAGATAGATAGATAGATAGAGGTAGTCAGCTGCTCATCACACAGTAAATATAAAAAGACTAAAAGCTAAGCTGATAAAAGAACAACAATCATAGATACAATAAATAAAGAGCTGTAATCTTATCTGTGCTGTCATCAGAGGGAGCAGTGAGTCCTGGTGATGAGAGCTGCTGTGATATAACATAAAGAGTCAGTTCATCTCTGGACATGTGGATTAACATGTGAACAAGTGGAAAGAAGATGTAAAATGAACAAAGCGTCACAGTGGAAGTGTGGCCAGTAAAATTATATCTTATGTTTTGTGAAACGTTGCAAATGTTTTATGCAGAACTACAAACTACATGTTGAAATCTACTGACAGGTAAATATCAAGCTTGTGGGTGTTTTCAGTTTTAATCCAGAGGTCTAGAGAACAACATGTCGTCTGAATGAAACACGTCGTTCGTCCGTGTTCTTTAGAGCGACTCCCTCCATCCACCCGGACCTCCTTCCTCCTTCCTGCTTCGCACCGAACACACACGGTGTTTTGTAACCTGTGAAAACTCCCAGCTTCACCTCAGACCACAGAAACATTCGATTATCTGGACTGAGCGGTAACCATGGTAACGCATCAGCAGTGTGAGGGTTTGATCCGTTATGCTGATTTTCATGTGAACGTGTAAATGTTGTGCAACGGCCGCACAGACAGGCGTCCTCTGTCGTCCTCTGCAGGGAGGTCAGAGGTCAGGGCGGAGCTTCAGTGTGTTTTGCACAGAGGCGCTCAGGCAGGTGTGTCACTGCATTCAAACTTTTTCAAATGATTAGTCACTTCATTCGTTTTAAGATGTTTAAGACATTTCTCAGCTCAGATGTGAGGAGTTTTAAATCAGTCTACTTTATTTATTGTTTTTATATCATCAATGAAAATAAACAATATAATGATAAAAACATTTTGGAGGCAATTTGACTAACTCTGATTCATCGTTTAAGTTTCATATAACAAGAAATTCATGAGTTAGAGATTTTTTAATAAACTTTTAATAAACTTAAAATAATAATACATTTGTAACCACTTGCACATGCAAATTTATAACTTTTGTGAGTTGATAAATTTCACATTTTACATTCCACATTTGATAAATAACACGTTTTATAACAAATGAAACACATGTAATAAAACCATACACAGGCAAATGAGGCTTTTGGACATTTTACTTTTGAAAACAGGAATTTTACATGTGTCTTATAGCTGTGTCTCACTGGATGTTTGTTGATGATAAAAATACCTTGAACATGAAAGTTGAAAGAGTAAACACTGTCGGGACGACTCGGTGGTGTTGGGACATGATGTGTCACCCGGGGAATCTCCACAGTAGTAAAGCGGTGATGTTGAGGCCTGGTAAGAAAAGAGCAGAGTGGAAGCAAACCATCAATAATAATTAGTTTCAACCTGATGGAAACAGGGTGGAAACGCTGCGACAGGACGTCTGTACCCTGATCCACTGCACACATCTGTCAGCAGGTTGTTTCTTCCTGCTTGTTTCAACTGGAAAACTGTTTCTTTCTAAACATATATATTTGACAGAATCAGCATCCGCTCCTTTAAAATCAGATCTGGTGTAAATCTATTACATATACCTGAAAACTGAACAAGAGTCCCTCAAGATATCATTTCAACATTTCATATTTCATCATATTTCATAACAAAATCTCAACCTTAATTTCACCTTTTTAAAGGGTTTATTCTTTGAGGGGTCTTTTTAAATGAAAAGACTTCTGGCTGCCATATAAACCTCGAAGGATTAATCAAATGATTTTAAAGGGTCGTGTCTGAGTAGAAATGAGTAAATTAAGTTCAGTTCGTGCAGCAGAAATCATGTGACTGAGCGCAGATGAACAAACAGCTGTAGCAGACAGCAGATGGACACGTGCTCAGACGTTGAAGTGTCTCTTTGACGACGTCCTGACAGCGATCACCGTCACTGCTGATCCGCTCTCGTCCAAAAGGCCTCACACCTTCCACCTGTGAAATACCAGTTCCTAAATGCCACAGAGACGTGAGCGTCTGTCTGTGACTCAGCTGCCACTGCCATGGCGACACGACAGTAACCTCTCCCCACACTTTCCTCCAAACCTCCCGCTGCATGGTACTGAAACATCCTCATCAGCTGACGGCAGTGATTACCTTTCAGATTACACCCAGGCAGAGAACGAGCTCATCTATTGATCTAAGTTTGTTTTATTTTTCATTTTTTCAAAGTCTTTGTGATCTCTGGTTTTCATAACGTATATATATGAATAAACTTTAATATCAGGCTATATAATTTCATTTAATAGAAACGCATCTATAGCTGGAGACGCTGCACAAAAGTTTTGGGCGGATGAATACTGTGGTTTGTCAAGAAATAGTTCCAGCACAAAACTGTGGTTTTTACTTCTGTTTGTTTTGTCTTGAAACGAGATACAGCAGGATGATCAGTGTGGCAACTGTTTCCACCCGCTGCCAGTCTTTAAGCTAAGCTAGGCTAACCCCGTCCTGACTCCAGCTCTGCAGTGGACACATAGACATTAGATTTATATCAATCTGCATTTTCAAAATGTTAAACTATTACTTGAAGGTTTGGGTTGTTGTTGAGTACACACAGTCTTCCTGTTTGTGTCATGTCAGACATTTAGTTCAGAGCAGAGACGTCCTGCTCTTTTTAAATCACCTATTATTAAACTGGACTAATAAAGCCTTAATGAATCATCCGTCTCTCCCTCCATCTTTGTATCACCCTCCGTGTGGACATGTTGATACGATCAGCTCATTTGTGTGTGTAGTATCCATGTATCATCCATCCATCTTTAATCAGGTGTATCACTGTGTCTTTGCTGTGTTTTGCTCCTCTGTGTATCGCTGCCATTTCAACAGGAAGTGGACGTGGCCCCCTTCAGCTTCTTCTTCTCAATTATTCAACACAAAAAGATCTAAATATTCAAAAAGCTGTGGGTTTGCTCTCCATGCGCAGAGGAACAGGCTGCAGGTCACACTCATTAACTGAGTTTTCAAGCCTCAGCACGACTGAATCAAAAAGTCCACCGGGAGCTGGGTGAGTTTTTTGGGAGTTTATCACAGATAACTCCCGTGTGGTGACGTCTTTGTCTTAGTGTGTGTGGTGCTTCAACTTGGTCTGACAAAAACTGATAAAAACTCTGGTGACAAAATGTGTTAATGTCATGATCTACTGGTGGACCCGTTTACCTGTTCAACAACATTCACTAAGAGAGAAGCAGCAGTTTAAATGTTTAAATACGAGTCGGTCTCTTCAGCACCTCCACATTTAGAAGACACAGGATGAAGCTGATTTAGATTCAGAACAGAGAGTTTACAGCTTCTCAGCTCCTGATCAACAACCAAATACACATGCAGCAAATACTCTTGCATCCTTGTGTTGTGAGCAGCACGTTTTCAAATGGATGAAGATGTTTTCTGAATTTGTGTTTTCTTAACTTGCTTCCACATAAAGTGTAAATATCCCTCTGCAGGAAAGAGCTCTTTGTCTTTAAGGATTATGTTGCTAATGAATAACATGGTTGTATAATAAATATTAACACCAGCGACAGCAGCAGAGACAGGAAGAATAAGGGGGGAGGGTGAGAAATCAAACAGCTGTAATTATAATAAGGAGGAGAGCGGCACCGCTGACTCCATTAACACCCCGAGCTTATTAACATCAACCACAGTGGACTCACAGAAAACACACAAACACAACAAACACACGTCAGCTGCTAAATGTCACAGAAACGAGCAGCAGCTGCAGGTTAAAGACACGTCTTTAACCTGTGTCTACACAATCTTCAAATGCAGCCTCCACACAGCTACAGTTCAGCTAACTAATGTTAGCTAGCTGGTGACGCCCTTTCATTTCCAGGGTTAGCTTGTCATATAAAATGCCATGTATGAGCTAATGTGAGCATTTAGCAAACACTGGTGGTCATGAGCAGTGAGACAATGGAGGGTTAGTTGTTTGTAGAGAAACGTTTTGACATCAATATAGAGTTTATTATTTCATGTTAATAGTCTTTGTGTGTCTGTGGTGGTTAAATTAGTGTGTTACCTTTTTGATTTTAGTTTTTATAATAGACACCATTTTTGTTTTCACTCAGGAACTCAGAAGTTTTACCTGTTGGATAATTCAACAATATTCAAAACCATGTATACTGAAGGCCAAATATCTGTATCAGCAATGGTGGAAAGTAAAGAAGTACAATTTTGAGGTACTTGTAATTTACTTTTTTCCATGTTATACTACTCTATACCGACATCTCAAAAAACCCTTATGACGAACTAAATAAAACAAGTCATGTTGGTTTGTTTTTCTTCCAGGACAACGTGAGTCATAAACAGACACCACTGATTAGATTTAAAACCTTCATGTAATTAGTGTAAATGTTGATTCACAGGACCAGACCACCACAACAGAGACAAAGCTGCATGCTTGTTCCTTTTATTCTCATGTTTATTGTTTAAAATGCAGCAAATCGCAGTATATTGTTCCCACATGAAAGGAAACAACAACCCTGAGTCATGTATTGATCCACATAAACAAAGTGTCATCATTTTAGGATTTTGGCTCTTTATCTGTGTGATGTTGACATCTGTATCATCACTGAAAGCTGTGTAGTTTTAGGAAAGTCCAACATTACAGTTTTGTTTTTAAAAATTAACTCTCTACCACTGCTGCCTTCAAGTGCCATCAGAAATATCTGAATATGAGAGGAAAGATTTATTCTTAATTATTAAAAGACATTCATTCATTTCATAATTTATTTATAATTTATTTCAAATTGAATCAATAATGATTGAAGATTGTTGGTGTTTTGTTTTATTTGAGTTTTTATGTTACTTGCTAAAATATTTTTAATACATTTTTTTGTCTCTTTATTCAGTAATTTAACTGCCAGTAAAACAACGCCAACCATCAAAGTGTACTGTGTCTCTGCAGCAGTCTCTGGCTTTGTCAGTGTTTCTGCGAAAAAGTATTTAAATGTCCAACAAATGGCTCTGATAACAACTAAAAGTTTGGAGTTTACCAGCAGCACATGAATGCAGCATGTGACCTTTGTGTTGTGACACAGCCTGTCCTCTGTTAAAGTGCAGAGCGTCTCACGCAGACACTCAGAGACCTTTGTCACTTTCAGGATGAGGTTTGAGGCTCTTATCCTCCTCCTGTGTCTGTCCCACACAGCAGCAGCAGACAGAGAGGCGGTGGAGGTGGCCGAACAGCTGATCGTCCAGCCTGATGTCTGGGCAGAGGTGAGAGCGCTCAGAGACCTGGTGGTGGATCAGAGAGCAGAGCTGAACGTCCTGAAGACCAGACTGACATCCACCGAGAATGAGCTGCAGACAATCAGGACAAACACAGGTAGATCAATGGGTTGTCATCAGCTGATTGATTGACTGATGGCAGTGTATTGATTTATGGTATTATGTTTCTGTTTTAAAGGAATAATGTCAATTTGTCTCCATTAATCAGCTGCTGACATTTCTAGTGTCAGGCATTAGCAACCACAAGAAAATAATTAAAATACAATACATCTGATGTGGTCAGTTTTTGTCTGAAAACATTTACATATTTTGTTTTCCGTTTTCTCAGAGAGCTCAAAGGTGGCGTTCAGCGCTGCTCTGACTGATTCAGGACTGCTGGGACCCTTCAACACCGACACCACCATCGTCTACTCCAATGTCTTCACCAACATTGGCAAGGCCTACAACCCTGTCACAGGTACCAACAAAACCACTGCAAAATCCATATTTCTATGTTCTTGTACTTTCACATCAAAATGAAAAATAATAAATCACAATCAACTTTTCCTCAGGTATCTTCACAGCCCCAGTCAAAGGAGTCTACTACTTCAGATTCACCGGTATGGACTACCGCTCCGCGGTGCACATGGGTGCAGCTTTATATAAAAACAATCAGAGAATTATGCTGACCTATGAAATCAATGTTAATAATGGATATTTTGAACACATGTCAAATGGAGTGACTTTGGAGCTGGAGAAAGGCGATGTCGTCTTCCTGCGTCTGCCCGCAAACAAAGGACTTTACGACAACAACGAGAGCCACAACACTTTCAGCGGCTTCCTGCTTTTCACTTTGTAATCAACCATTAATGACACATCGTGTTACAATATTAAACAATCTGGCTCATTTCAAGGCTTCGTGATTTATTCATGATCCACAGATGATCATTCCAGATTACTTTTCATTTAGGACCATTTTCACTTTTATCCCAGCATCTACTACATGAGTTTCCCCTAGGGTATAAAGTAAGTAAGTATCTATCTATCTATCTATCTATCTATCTATCTATCTATCTATCTATCTATCTATCTATCTATCGGATCAACTCAAAATGTGGTTCTGATGTTCTTGAATCTCTGATGTTTCTTCAAGGATCCCTTGACTTTACCTTATTTTTAGTTATCACGATAGTTCATGATTGGACATTATGTAAGATAATATGTTAATGTCACATAGCATGCTAACACTAATGTTCACATTAAGCATTCATGTCATCGATCAACTCAGGATGGCTGTGGACTGTGTTGGTCATGTTCTTTGGTACAATGAAACCTCAACTAACTTTAGCCTTAAGTTACAGTTTCACCAAGTAATGTTAGCTAGTTACTATTTTTTGCCTTAAGTTACAGTTTAGCTAATTAATGTTGGCTAGTTTCTAACTTTACAGTTTAACTAACTAATGTTAGTGTCTGACTTGAGCCTTAACTTACAGGTTAGCTAACTAATATTAGCTAGTTTCTATCTTTTGCCTTAAATTAAAGTTTAGTGAACTAATGTTTGGTAGTTTTTATATTAAGCCTAAAGTTACAGCTTACCTCAATAATGTTAGCTTAAGTTTCAAACCCAAGCCTAATGTTAGCTAGCTGATCGCACACCCTTTCATTTCCAGTGTTAGCTTGTTATTTCATTGCCAATATAAAATGTCATATATGATCTAATGTTAGCAAACACTGGTGCTCAGTCACAATGGAGGATAAGTTGTTGTAAAGACACGTGTTGACATCAATATAAAGTTTATTATTTTATTTGGTGTGGTGGTTTAGTCTTTGACCTTTAACAGTTTTTATAATAGATACAGTGTAAAAAAAATCCTAGTTTTATGGAAAATAACTAAGTTTTCTAACAGTAATTTTCTGTTTTTTAAAATTGTGTACAAAAGTCAGTAAAATGACAGCATTATGCCAATAATAATTAATTACATTTATTTCCCATTTTTGTAATGCTTTCTTAAATTACAAACAAATCTGTGTAAAATGACAGTAATTATCTGTAATTAAAAATGTAGCTTGTTATTATAAAAGGTTCATGTCCATACGAACAATTTAAAGACTTTCTCTGTAATTTAAAGGTAAAACTTATTAGTTTTACATTTATGTGACTTCTACATTCAAACTTTGTAATTCTGGATGAAATGTATCAAACTTTTTTTCATCACATCAAACATTCAAACGTCAAACAAAAAAGTCTGAAGTATTGGAATGTATCCCAGCATGCACTGGGAGGAAAGCAGGAAAATGGTTTATCACACAACAACACACACACACACACACACACACACACACACACACACACACACACACACACACACACACACACACGCAGAGGAGGTGGAGGAACAGAAGAGGGGAGTGGCGAGGGGAGAGTCTGGCCAGCACCTGGACACACAGACAAACAGACTGTTTTAGGATTTTCAGGTTTCATTAAAAGATAAATCACAGAACAGATTACAACACAACAACAGCTTTATGACAAACTCGTACCACTGAGTCCTCAATTCAATTCAAAGAGCTGGATGTTGGTCTGAGCCATCAACCTGGGGCTGGCCAGCACTGCCTCTCTGATGGCCACATAATCCTTGAGAACGAATGACCAGCGAGTCCTCAGGGTCGCTCTGGACCACGTGGCCACCGGGTGAAGACGGCAGAGCTGGTTGCAAACGGCCTCCACCAGGCGGCTGACACTGGCCCAGTTTGCAGGGCCCGAGTTCAGTCCAAGAAGACAGCTGAAAGATAATCAGTGTGTGTTAATATAGATCTGATATTCATTAGAGGAAACAGTGATATTTGAAGTGAAAATCACCTCTGGAGACTCTCCTTCCCAGGACAGGAGGCGTTCTTCCCCGTTGCTGCCTTGAACTGTCACGTGTGCTGCCTCTCCTGGTCTCTGGGAGGGAAGACAACTCGCTGTTCCTCTGCTCTGTCTGGCAGGTGTTGCCAGGAGCTTGGAAGTACTTGGCACTGGCTTGAGGAAAAAGGTTTTGGATCAAAAATGAATTCTATGTTTACATGAAATGATAATACACAATATACTTAATCACAAGCTATTAGAAACACGCATGTACCTGGGATGAAGTGGTGAAGGTGGAAACGGGAAGGCTGACCCCGCCCCTTTGTCAGTCTACCAGTCTCTGTGTACAGCTGCACCTGCTGGGTCCTGAATGCAGCTGAGGTGGCGCCTCTGTGTCTCCATACGTCCTGGATGCAGAGAGAATCCAGCAAAGAGACGTCCAGGGTGACGTGGAGATCCTGGATGAGGAGGACCGTCTCCTCCACCCCATGTGTCCTCCTCCAACAGTGGAGCCTCCACTCCTCCCAGGAGATCCTCAGGATCACCTTGGCAACAGTCAGGCCGAGCATCCTGCGCTCCCCCTCCAACTAGGACCACTATGAAGCTGCGGCATCATCAATCCTGCCGCCATCCTGGAAAGCCAATACACCAACATTGGTAACCCAGGCAACCGTTTCAGAAGCAGCACCAGCGAGCTTCTTTGTGACCTGAAGAGAGAGAGAGACAAAGAAAGGTTTCAAATGCTAATGTTAATATTCGTGTGAGTATTTAGTACACACACAGCAGTGGTGTGAGATCAGCTGTAAGAACATAAACTCTGCCTGAATTACACCTCATCCTAGAGAAACTCCCTGGAGAGAAGCACCTGCTGGGAAAGAATACTAGAGATGGCTGTTGGACAGATCAATCAGTTAGACATACATTGCATTTAGAAAGTTCTCACTTTTTTGGATTGTATTATTTTGAATAATCTTATAAATCGTTAGATTCATACACTAATGAAAATGGGTGGCAGCTGTATTTACTGTGCATGCACACGTTCATTGTTGCCATTATCAACATTATCATTTATTGCAATTATAATATATCATTGTTAGCGTTATAATTGTTAGCAAAACTAATTGTGATTGTAAAAATAAATTATAATTTTTTCCATTATTGTCATTATTATTATTATTATATTCAATCAAACAAAATGTCACTTTATATACTTTGTCACTTGTCTATCGTGCTTCATGGGCCCCCCCCCTTGACAGGAGCTCTAACTCTTCCACTGTCTGTGTGTTGCCTCACCACTAATGTGTTTGTTTTTTATATATATATATATATAGGTATCTCTTCTACAAATTCTTCACATGTACATGTATCATTTGTTCAGATTTATTCACAAAGTGTTGATTTTATTGGAGTATATGCTAAATGAGGTTTAAGTGGATTGATTCATCTTTTATATTCTGAAGTCTTAGACTGCCTCAAACATTTCATAGTGAAAAGAGGAGGTGCTTGACATGTCCCTATTTTTCCTTTTGTGTTTTCACAGGGATGGCAGAATCCACCTCGGGCCAGAACCACACCTCGCCCAGCAAGAAAAGGTAAGTCATGCACATGACTCCATGCCATACATATGGGCTCAAATTAGGCTCAAAATGACTGAGCTTGTAAAGTGACCTTAACAAATAATTCCAATGTTTGTAGTTGTAAATCAACCTTTGTAAACCTGTAAAATAAATCTGCTCGAGAAATTCAAGCTTGTGTATGTGAAACAATTGCGTTTGTGTCAAAGAGATTTTTATTTGTTGAAAGTCTGAATCAAAACTGAACAAACGATCAGTGTTGAGGTTGAACAAAGACACTGTAAAAGAAGAAATGGATTTATCAACATCTGTGTACAGAGATAAAGAGCAGAAAAATGTAAAACCCAGTGAGAGACACTGACAAGTACAAAGTTTGATCCTTGTCACTTCAGCGTCACACTGTGGGAACTTTTGACCAGAGTTTTAGTTTTCTTCTCTATCACGACACAGATGTTGACAAATCCATTTCTTCCTTTACAGAAACTTCTGCAGAAACTTAAGTGGTGTCACTTTGTTGATGGTGTTTGATCATAATAATTTAGGAAAAATCTGTAAAATATTAATATATTAATGAAACTTTCCGTAAATCTATTGTTTTTACACTTTATTTGAATTAGGATATTTTACTTTAATTTTACGGTTTTTGTTTGGCAGCCGCTGCTGCCAGTCATTTGACAGTTGTTTATGATTTTGCACCCTAGCAGTAGAATCAGGACTGTTGTTGTCCTTTTTTTCTCTAGTGGTCAAAATCATTAAAGCAGCTTTAAGAAGAAACATGTTCCTCAAAGTACAATAATGGCTGAACAGTCGAACAGACCACCGAGTGGCTGCATCGATAGATGAATAAAGACACAATCTCCATTTATTGTTCCCTTTTTAATAAAGTCAACATGAAGAATAAAGCAGCAGATGAATGACGGCGTCTCACACAAACATGAGAAAGCTGTTAGATATAGAGGTGTTAACCACTGTAGTGTTTTACTGCAGAATAAACCAGGTTCATCTATTCCTCATGATTAAACTGTTGAAACTTGAACCAGTAAAAGAGAAAAAAAAAGGTTCAAAACAGCTGAAATTAAAGCCCCAGTTTTCCAGCCGGTTAATGGAACCAAATAAATTAATCCAATCCACTTAGTGAAGCAGAGAACAATCAATAATTCATTCAGAGGGACCGAAAATAAAAAAAAAACTATTACAAAATCCTCCCAACAATCATCCATATTCAAAATATTCAACCTTATTTACAAAAAGCCAAAGTACAGTTTCACTTTGGTGGAGTTTTCTTCCATAACACACATCTCTCAGTGTGTTGGTTCTAAAAGAAAAAGCCCTTAATCAAGGCACCAAATACCAACCTGCTAGAAAGGCCCGAGGTGGACGAGTGAAAACGTCTGTTTGGGAGTGAACGAAGGGAAACGACCCTCCATGGATAAATGACAACACTACTTTGAACTGGATTCACCTTTACTTTCATGGTTGCTGCAGGTTCATGGTGTTGAGTCCGCTACAGGTGAGAAGGCCACAAAGGCTGAGAAGCAGAAGTAAGGTCAGAGGTCGGCAGGTAATGAAGCCATGTTGGGTTACGGCAATGAGAAACGCAAACGTGAGTGAAATTACCTTTTAAAATCTGTCTGAAAAAAATTAACTGATTGTCAATGAAACTATAATTAAATCCAACAGAATCTAATTCCATTAATTAACATTAGTCTTTTAAAAAATTATAAAGTCTGTCTCTTTAACTACTGTGAAAAACAATCAGTAAAACCACTTTGTTAGTGCGGCACAGTCACCTAAAAACAAACATATACAGTATATTTAATGAGCAATCTATTCAACTAATAAATATTTAAATCATTGATTATTTAAGTTATTGTTAATTTAACTGATTAAGTACCAGAATGCAATGGAGGGTTTCTTTACCGACTCATCCAAACAGGTTCCTTAAATGTGGATTTTCCAGAGGAGAACAAACTATTTTAACTTTGCTGTAACTTTATTTTTGAGTCCTGCACATTCAGGGGACTGGAGGTTTGACTGAGCTCAGGACCAGATCTCTGAAGGGTCACTTCCTGTACCTGCTTCTACAGAACACAGAGTCCTGGATGCAGAGAAGTTCAGGAACCATCTGCTGCAGGAAAGTGCTAGCATGCTAACACATACCACTGTTAACAGCTCCATGTGGAGGAGGACTCGGCCTCCTGTGTGATAAAGATGCTAATTCAGGCTCCAACAGAGGTTAAGGGCAGAAGATCTGTAACTGGTTCTAATGATTGTCGTCATGAAGCTTTGTTGTATAGACACAAGCTCTGAGATGGTTCAGTTCGCCGTTGCAGCAGAAGAAGATCCATATTCCTGTCAGACTCGGACAAGAGTTTGAAATGATTAATGTAAAAGTTGAAGCTTCAGGAGGCTCCAGCTGATTGCCTCCAGATGTTTTTTTTTGCTTGAATCTGTATTTCCCAAAACCTCCAGACGGGAGTTGGTGAGAGCAACGTGAGAACGGCCTCAGGTGCAAGAAGAAGACCCAGACTGAAGAAGTACAAACTTCAGAATGTGCAGTTTAAAGGAACAGAACATGTTGTAAGCTAAATATGAAGCTACAGCCAGAAGACAGTTAGCCTAGCTTAGCACAAAGACTGGAAACAGGGGGAAACTGTAAGCCATGCAGCCCCTCAAAAACAACTTTACACTTTGGTTTTTGTACAAATGAAACAAATGAGATGTAACATTTGTTATCATGGGGAGGAGTCAGGCTAGCTGTTTCCCCCTGTTTCTTTATGCTAAGCTAAGCTAACTGGCTGTTGCTTCATATTTATCGTACAGACATGAGAGTGGCATTAATCTTCGCATCTACCGCTCATGTTTAAAGATCTGTTTTCTGATCAGAAAACCACCACCAACAGATATCAGCTGATACTAATCAGCACTGACCAATCAGAGCGTCCCTCACTGGTCATGTGTTTACAGCTAACATGTCCTGACAGTCTCCACGAGCACGACACCAAACCTGAAACAGTCCGTCTACATCTCGTCGGCGTGCGCAGGTTTGGCCGGATCGTGGCTTCCTTTTCCGGCCGCTGACCTCAGACCGAGGGCGAGCGGTTCAGTCTGCCCGGCAACAACAGTTGAGCTGTTCCCTGTTCGGCTCCCCTCCTGGGCCGCGCCGTCAACAGCTGTAATTTCAGGGGTTTCTATTGGTTCTCGTGGGACAGCAGCGCCCTCTGGAGCTCCTGATTGGCTGAGGTCATAGGGCGGCAACGAGGAGTCAGAATGAACCGCCAGAGTCTCAACCTCGTCTGCTGCCGGCTGGGAGGGGGAGGAGGAGGGGGAGGAGGAGGAGGGGTCTGTCAGGATGTTTCTGGAGATAACTGGAAAGATCAGAAAAATAAATCATTAAAAACAAAAATTTATTTAAAAATTAAACAAACAGTTTTATTTTCTAGTTTATTCGCTTCCTGATTCATTGGTGCTGGTCTTCACACCGTGACTCGTCTCTAAACTTTCTTCATACGCATCAACTTCTCCAGAAAGGTCATCAAGTTTCCAGATTAGTCTCGAAGAAGAAGCACGATGTTTGATAAAAACCATTTCAACAACAGGAAGTGACATCAAAGGGACCGACCTCCTGTGGGCCTGTAGTCGTCGTCTGTAGACGAGCTGCGGCTGAACGGACTGAAACTCGGCATGATGATCAGACCCAGAGAGACCAGGATGATCTGAACACACACACACACACACACACACACACACACACGCATCACAACACACACACATTAGAGAATTGTGAATTCATTCAGTAAACTTTCTTTTTAACTCCTGAAAAGCTCTTTTTATTGGTGGATTTTCAACCTACTGATTCAGTTTTATTCTTATAAAAAAGCTACTTATTTACACACAACACACTTTTTAATATATTCATAAAGAAAACACAACCACAAGATTCATGCAGAAACACAGTAAGAATAAGAATATCCTCTTTCAAACTTAAAAATTTAAAACAGACATTTTGCAATAAAAACATGCTCATACTAAAAATAATAAAAAGATGAGGACTGGAATCTGTATCAATTACTTCTGAATGATATTAACCAATAATGCACACACACACACACACGCACGCACGCACGCACACGCACGCACACACACACACAGTGTTTCCTACCAGTAAGCAGGTGCTGGTCTGGGCTCCTTTGCTGACCGTCTGTTTGATCAGAGACTGGAGCTGCCGCAGCTGAGCCAGCAGAGACCTGAGCAGCAGGAACACAGTCTGTTTACACCACGTTTACTTCTCCCATCATTCAGCTGTCCGAGCAATAATCTGAACTCAGGAGTGTCAAGTTCAACAAACAGAAAACTCTGTGTGAAACTAATGGAGGAATCTTCATTCTCAACACAAACAACCCCCGAGGGATCGACAAGCTTTCCCTCCATAAACTGACATTTTTAACAACTAAATGAGAGTTTTTTACAGCCGGATAAAGGGCAACTCATCAAATTTAGACATTTAAAACATCCAGACATCACTGGGAGCAGTTCAAATTATAAAATGATAATCGGGGCGGGGGGGCTGTTAAATACATGTAGTGGAGTGGAAAGAAGTGTGGGAGTATGAAGTAGCATGAAATGGAAACAACTAGCCAACATCAGCTAGCTAAGCTGTAACTTAAAACTAAAGGTACAAACTAGCCAACATTAGCTAGCTAAACTTTTACTTCAGGCTAAAAGTTAGAAACTAGCCAATGTTAGTTAGCTAGGCTGTAAGTTACGGCTTAATTTAGAAACTAGCTAACATTAACATGCATCCGTAGATACTTGACACAATCCAATTCAGAAACTCTGAAGTTTAGAAAGTAAGTGAATAAAACAAGCTAGATAGTTACTGCTACTTACATTTACCTACAGTCTCATTTTGCTTGTGCAACACACAGAGAGAGAGATGTTAGCTACTGATGGAGTGAGGCAGGCAGACGAGACGTTCAGCTAACATCAAGGTAGAGAATATTCTGACAAACAAATGTTTCCTGTGAAACCTCATCATATTACTCACTAGGTTTAATATCCATAAATGTAAGGTGTTAAAACTAAACCCTCCTTTTGTTCCTTTAAAAAGGAAGAGAGCTTTATCTACGCCATGTAATAGAAAAGCTGTGAAAAGCTCAAATGTTGTGCTCCAGATGCAAAATATTAATATCATTTTGAATTAATATATATAATTCATTAATGTAATTTTTTTAAATACATTTTTTTCTGTACCACTTTCAGTTTGAATTTGATTATATATGTTGTATAAACTTTGTATTTACCCTCTGGCTCTGTATAAATGTTGGTTTGTCTTAGTTACTGTTATTTTACTTCCTCTGAATCAGTCACTGTACAAGAGCAACGTCCGCACATGAAGCTGAAAACAAAGACAACAGCGCCCTCTGCTGCTGGACACGCTGACTGATGCAACTGTTGAGTCCAGACTGTGATTTCTTTTTCTTCATCAATCACTAAACACCCAGTAATCAATAATTAAGACGTGCTCGTACATGTTACGTTTCTCCAGCTGCTCAACTGTCCTCTGCAGCTCCTTGTTCTGTGCTGAGCAAGCTGCTGCCCTGTAAACACACACACACACACACACACACACACACACACACACACACATTAATGTAAGTGTTATTGTGGGTGACTCTCCTCTGCTGAACTGGGGGCAGCTGTGGCTCAGGAGGGATGTTGGTTCAGGCTCCAGATCCCTCAGTCCACATGCTGAGGTGCCTTTGAGCAGGACTCTGGAGCCCAGGCCGGCCAGCAGTTTGCATCAGCGTGTGAGTGGTAAACAAAAGCCAACCGTCTCTGTGAGTCGGTCAGGACTCGTACCTGCCCTCCAGCCCGTCGATGTACTCCTTCCTCCTGCGGCGGCTGTCCTGAGCCGACTGCTTGTTGCGGATTTTCCTTCGAACTTTCTTCAGGATTCGTTCCTCCGCCTGCAAAATAAAAAGTTCTCAATTACAATCGTCGGTCATGTCAAAATAAAAGCCCACAGTGTGTTGGAAAGATTAGTTAAATGATAGAAAAGAACTGCGTCAGGTCTTGTGAGTGTTTCGCCGTCTGACCTTGGTGAGAGGAAGGTTGTTCGGCAGAGAAACTCCTTCCTGGTTCAGCAGCTTCTGCTCCTCCTCGGTCAGCTGAAGCTCCGGGTACAGCTGCAGCAGCAGAAGAAGAAGAAGAGCGAGTCCTCCAGGTCACACCTCGGCTCTGACTGTCACAATGAACAAAATGTCTTCTTGATATTTAAGAGGAAAGTCTCACCAGATCGCTGTCGGGGCTGGGAGGGTCGATGACAGCCAGGCCGCTGCCGTCGAGGCGAGCGGCGGAGACCAGCGGCAGCTCGTTCACAACGCAGGTGTCTGAAAACAACATCTGGGAGCTCCACTCGTCTGCACAGGACAGGAAGTGATCAACATGTTTAGACCTGACGACTGAATGAAGTGAGAATGATTCAACACCTGTCTCTCTCTCCTGTCTCTCTCTCCTCTCTCTCTGTCTCTCTCTGTCTCTCTCTCTCTCTCTCTCTCTGTCTCTCTCTCTGTCTCTCTCTCTCTGTCTCTCCTCTCTCTCTTGTCTCTCTCTCTCTCTCTCTCTGTCCTCTCTCTGTTCCTTCTCTCTCTCTTCTCTCTCTTCCTCTCTCTCTTCTCCTCTCTTGTCTCTCTCTGTCTCTCTCTTCTCTCTTCCTCTCTCTCTCTGTCTTCTCTCTCCTGTCTCTCTCTCTGTTTCTCTCTCTCTCTCTCTCTCTCAAACTGCAAAGACAGAAACCAATCAGACCCACAGAGACACGCTCTGTCCTCACCGAGCTCTATGGAGATGACGTTCTCCTGTCCAGGCTCAGCCTTGACGCCTCCCAGCCCACTGATGTCATAAACCACCTGGTACACGGTTGCCGGGGTCGGCTGGGAGGTCGTCGCGGTCACCGCCGTCACCGTGGTGACGGGACTCTCAACGACAGGACCCTCAGAGATGCCACTGTCGCTCTCGGATGACGGGTCTGCAGGCGGCCCGCTGGGGAACACCTCGTTTGGGTCGACGCCGTGGAGGACGTCCTCTGATTCGCTGTCGTCGAGCGTCTGAGGCGGAGTCAGATCGACAGTGAGAAGCAGGTTTGAAATGATTAAAATGATGATGACGTAAATATTCTGAGCTTTTATCAACATCTTCAAGTTTGACTGAGATTTAAACTTTAACATGTCAACCTGACCTCTACAGACATTCATCTTTGTAGAGGTCTAAGTAACTCACACAGTCGGGGTCCACCGCCCAGTCCTGCAGGGGTTTCTCCGAACCGCTGAAGACCAGTTCAGAGCAGGAGAACGGTGCGTCAAGCTGCCAGCTGTCTGCCGCCACGCCGCCGTCACCGCTGAGGAACAGCTCGCCACTCTCTGCGTCCATCACCTGACAACACATTCACACAGACCACAGTCACCACAGCAGCCGAGAGAGGAGAAAGAGATGGGTCACACTTCCTGTCTCCAGTGTGAGACGAAGGTGTCTCAACATCTATTGGATGGATTGCCATGTAGCTAACGCTGCATTCATGTCATACTGGAGTTACCGTAATTACCAGTTTCCTAGCTGTAAACAGGACTATCACAGTTAATTTTTTCTGAAGCTTCAACACATCTGGAAATATCATCCCATATGACATGAGCGCAGCATGAGTGCAGCCTTGCACAGGCGTTCACATGGGCGTGGTAATGTTTTTTTACACAGCAGCAGGAAACAGGAAACAGCTAAATAAAACCAGGGCTGCAGTGACGACCGATTCCTCCAATAACCGTCTAAGAAAACAGTGAAAAATGATCATCACAACATCCAGTAAAGCCACAGTGAGGTCTCTGAATACAACTACAACCTGAAGAAAGAGATTTCACTGTCACATAAGACAAAGTAAAGCAGCAAATCCTCTCACAGCTGTTGATTAATTATGTGTTCATGATTCATCGAAACAGAACTTTGTTAATTGACTCATCAGTTAATCAGCTAGTTGTTGCAGCTCTAAATAAACTGTAATTTATTGGTTGTAATTAACCCCTGAAAACCTGGATTTAAGGTTAAGAAAAAGCCGACACGTGAGCGTGAAGGAAGACAAACATGACACAAACCAAACAGCAGAATAAAGACGTCTGAGGATCAGGACAAACCCAGGTGACGCAAGACTGGAGGAGGATATCCTGTTGAGTACACGCCCACAAACACACCTACACACACACACCTGCCCTCTGACAGTACCAGTCTGACTGAATAGAAACCTGATAAGCTGCTAAACGTGTTTCCACTTTCCCCTCTCTGCTTTCAAACCTCATTTCTGAGCTCACACAGTAAACAAGAACCTTTAAATAATATTAACATGGTGGACTGTAACTACGTGCATTTACTCAAGTGCTGCATTTAAGTACAAACTTAAGTACTGAATATCTCCATGTTATAACACTTTCACTCCACTACATTCATCTGACATAATGCAGTTACAGGTGTCTTCTGCAAATTCTGTAACTTTATAAAATATGACGTACCGTAAAATATTAAACTACAGTACGTTAAACTTAAACGAGACAGACTGTGTCTACGGGTGGATGCGAATGTTAGCTAGTTTCTAACTTTAGCCTTCAGTTACAGGTTAGCTAACTACTGTTAGCTAGCTGATAGCTCACCCTTTCATCTCCAGTGTTAGCTTGTGATTTCATGACCAATATAAAATGTCATGTTTGATCTAATGTTACAAACTCTGGAGCTCAGTCATGAGCAGTGAGACGATGGAGGATTAGTTGTTGCAGAGAAATGTTTTGACATGAATATAGAGTTTATTATTTCATGTTAATAGTCTTTTATGTGTCTGAGCTGGTTTAGTTAGTCTTTTACCTTTTTGACTTTAACTTCTATAACAGACTCCATCTTTGTTTCACTCAGGAATTCAGGATCATTCAACAATATTAAAATATGTGTGTGCTGAAGACTCAGTAATTCTAATTAGCAGTGGTGGAAAGCAATGAAGTACATTTACCTTAAGTTCAGTACTTACGTACAATTTTAGGTACTTGTACTTTACTTGATTATTTCCATTTAATGCTCCTGTATATTGTTGTCCTACATATTGTTCTTTCTACTGCACTACATTAGAAAAGTGTAAAATATGTGACCGCCAAGTAGATGAAATAAAAACTAACAGAGCATTAAAGGTGAAGACTCGTTTAAATGTTTTTACATCTTTTACTTTGAAAAACAACTAAACATGTAAACAGTAAACACTGAGCTTCCGCCCTGCTCGTGGCCTTTTGTACTTTAATGACATTTAGCTGATAATACTTGTGAGTAATGGCGTGTTTTTACATTGTGCTGTTGTTGTGTTTGAAGTCAACAGGATTCATAAGGAGCTTCTTTGAGCCTGGTTCTGTTTCAGGGAAGCTCCGGGCCCTCGTGAAGCTGTCATTATCTGTTTATACCGTGTTTATTAATGAGCCGTTAATTGGCTGTGGACCAGAGCTCCGGCCTGATCGTGGTTCAGCCGGATCACCAGCCGCAGATTTATCGCGAACACTCACTGTGTCAGAAGGCGGATTCTTGTGGTTCACAGGCTCCGGTTCTTCATCACAGAGCTCCGGCTCCTCTGCAGCCGCAGGCCCGGGAACACAAACACCCACAACACGCCGCTTTCCTCCCGGTGTGAAGCCCAGCTGGCAGCTCCGCGTCCAGCTCAGAGTCCACTTCCTCCTCCTCTTCCTCCTCTTCTTCCTCCTCCTCCTCCTTCTCTTCTTCTTCTTCTTCTCCTCGCTCTGCACTGTCCTCATCTCCCTCTTCTTCTGGCTGTTTATGGCGGTTGGCGAACAGCGAAGTGACGCATTACCGCCACCAACAGGTGCTGCTAAATTAGTGATAAATTAAAATGAAAAATAAAAATAGAAATAACCAAGAACAGATAAAACTGATCTGCAGAGCTTCTTTATAAAAACATCTTGTAAATCAGAGTTTATTTATTTTATTCCTGTGTTCAGTATCAGCTCCCTCCTCTGCATCATATCTGGACAGTAACATGTTCAAACCTTCCTGTATTATATTTTTCTATTTTAAATAACGTGCACTTGAGTCTTTTATGACCAAACGAAACATTTTTTTTTTACATTTTTCTAATATATTTCTAAAAACAGAGTTTATCTTCCCACAAACTCATCACCACCAAACCTCTGTGTATTTTTACTCCATTTTACAAATCTGTAAAATTTAAAATCAAAACCAAACATAAAACAAAGATGTTTAGATTTAGACTCATATTTGATACATTCATCTACATCTAAAAATAAATTATAAACATAAATTGCTCATTGGCATGAGATTTCCTCATGATAAATGTGACACTGAATTCACTGTAAATTTGTTGGTAAATTCCACGTTCAGAAATACAGAATCACAAAGGTCACCTGCAACTTTACCAGATTTTCAGGTGAACTCAAAATGTACATACAGACTCTTGAGTTCATTTTCTCAATTCCATGTTTTCTGTTATTGTTTCTTTATGGAGATTTAATGGGGTTTAAAGTTGTCATTGCCCCTTTTCGTCCCTTTTGAGGGTGAATGTGAATGTGGTGCAGTAAAAAGTGCAGTATTTGTACTGCAGTATAAGTACACGAACAGTTCACCACAGTAAACCTACATGAACACAGACAGATGCAGATGCTCCAGGTTTCATCTGTTTATTTTCTGGAAAATAATGTGAAGGTACAGTCTCTTTAAAAATCTCTCCTGTTAGCTTCAGAAGCACCTCTGGTTTGAAAACACATTAATATGTACAACACACTCGACGTTCCCTGGTTATTACAAGGTTCAAATAAAAATCTGAATACAACAAAAGTCAAATGTATTATTCAAATACAAAGCAGGAGACAGAGCCCTCGTCTTTTCTCTGGAGCCTAAAAACATAAAAACTGACAATAACATTAATAATGAGAGAAATTAATATTATACATCAATAAAAAATATGAAAAAATAAGAAATATGGCCTTTAACTGATCCCTAATCTGCACACACACACACACACACACACACAAGCACACACACACTCACTACCTCGCTGGTCAACAGCTCCCCCTACTGGCAGAGTCTGGAACTGCATGTTAACTCACATCAGGTTTATTGCATAAAAAGGCAAAATGCTACACACACGCGCACACACACGAGCGCGCGCGCACACACACACACACACACACGCGCACACACACACACAGGTGGAGAGGATGGTGGATTTTGGGACGATCTTTTATTTTGACCTTCTGTGACTGAGACTGTCAAAATAAAACGACGCTGCTTTTAAAGTGAAAATCTGTTTTTTTTTTGTTTTTTTTCAAGGAAAAGTTCCTTTAAAAAAATATTTTTTTTGTTCCGTGTTGCTGATGATTCTGTTGAAAACAACTTTGTGCACGTGAAGTCGTCTGTTTATGTCATAGGAAACTTTTCTGTGACAAACTGATCATCTGGTCTGATCTGGTTTCACTGTTCGTTTGAATCCTGATTAAAACCTGAACGAGCAGACTAATCAGACTGAAAGAAAAAAAAATCAATAACAATCCAATTCTACGGAAGCCCAAAAAGGCAAGTGAAAGTTTTTTTCTTTACAGGATAATTTTTCAAAATTTTTGGTTTTTTAATCTGTGAACAGAAGCCCTGAGAGGCTTTTTACTCTCTCTGGGCTTCCGTAGTTCACTGTAGTTTTTAGTTGCCAGAGCAGCTTCTGTTTGTTTTAATCAGATTTTAATAAGTGTGTTTTTAAATATCTGGATCCTGTGAGTCCTCAAAGCTCCAGAAAGACAAAAACCACCAGAGTCCTCCTTTGGGGGGGGGGGTCAGTCTCTGTTGGTCAGTTCTACAAAACCAGTAAAACACCGTGACTGGTTTTAGAAGCTGACTGGAACTTTTGTTTTAAAAACTCAAACCAGAGGCAGTGATTTGTTTTTGTTGTGAAACCTGCACAAAGTGACTCAGGCTCTTCTGTGTGCCGGGATGTTTGAGGCTGACGTTACATTTCTTCACAGCTCAGAACGTTAAAGAAGATTTTTGATGAATTTCCCTTCAACCATCTGAAATGCAGGAAGCTGCAGCTTTTACCTGTCGAGCTCTTCGACAGTGAACTGACCTCAGATCAACACTGAACCACCTGCACCTGAACACCAGAACAACATCAACACAGACTGTAACTGAGCCAAACAGTAATATTTTCATCCAACATAGCCGCACAGAGAAGATCCCCCACAATTCATTTCACCTCCTGGTTCATAAAAACACTCCAGCTCCTCGACTTGTTCACTTCAACCTTTCACCTCTGAGCGACGCCTCGTCGGCTGCCAGCGCCGACCGGACAGGCCGCCAACCTGGATGTCAACTTTCCAAACTCACCCTGAACGCCTCACTCACACCTGAACTTTCACCTGAACGTGACGAGTCCAACAGAAACAAGGATCCAGAAGCAGAGGACTCAGCTGATTTCTGTTAAAGAGCTCAGAGGGTCGCTGGTTCGATTCCTTCCACCTGTTCACAGGTATCAACCTCTTGTTAAACTGGTCGTGAAATCTTATTTGAAGTAATTGTTTATGTCTCGTCATGTCGGCGTCCACAGACGACCATGAAGACGTCACAGTTTCTTTTATCCCTTCATTAACTTCCCTGTGGCCTTCAGGATCTGGATCTTCTACAGATCCACCTGAGCGTCACAGCAGCAGCCTGGACCCACCTGCAGGGGGCGCACTCAGACCGGATTCTACTTTCTGAAACCTCTTCATCATCTTGGCCAACATCCTCGCTGCAGGCACACGCAGGATTCCCCTGATGAACTCCATTAAAGCTCCAACGCCATCGAAGCTAAAACTCCTCCCACAAACCTTCAGTCAGGTGTTCACAGACCTGAGCCAGCTGATCCTGATCCAGCTGATCCTGATCAAGTTGATCTGATCCAGCTGATCAGGTCAAAGAAAAGCTGATTTTGATCTCATTCATAATTTGAGGAAACTTCTTCCCGCTCTGTGACTTTATTCACTCATTCAATTTATCTTATTTTTGTGTTTTTTATATGTTTTTTTTTTTTTTAACGTTAAATCATTTTCTTCTCTTCAACCATTAAAACAACCGTCGAGACGAAACCTCAACTTTCAACAAATCATCTCAGGGAATAAAATCCACCCGACAGCTCAGAGGAATCATTATAACTTCCTGTTTGTTATGACCCACTGATGAACTGACAACTATCACTGATCTCTCATCAGATTTATGGAGGTTATTTTCAGTGGCGTGTTCAGGTCTGACTGAATCACGACTCAGATTGTCTGATTTCAGTTTCTGGATGTTGATAATTGACGACTCGTCACACGATCGTTTTCACACGAGGAGCTCAGAGTGAAAGAGGTTGGAGATGGAGTTTCAGTTGAAAGGTAAAAAAATTTGAATTTGCATGAGTTGAAAGACAAAAGACACAATCTGAGGCGGAGACGCTGAGCAGACGGACATGAGACCGATGCTTTAACCTGATGAACTGATCTCTGTCCTGCTGCTGCTGCTGCTGAGACTCGACTCTGATTCTTCAGAGACTGAAACACGAAGAGAAAGAAGGGGGAGTCTCTCTCTTCACTGAACCGGACTACGACAAGGACAAAGACCTAAACGTCTTGAAACAACATGTATGTAAATACTCACTCAGGACACGTGCAGCTAATCTCACAAGCTGTTGTTCAGAAACTCTCCGTCCGACTTCAAACTCCTACAAGCTGTTTTTTTTTTCTTCTTCTTCTCGTCTTAAATATACTGATTTCTTTCTTTAAAGACAAATTATTTACAAACAGATTAAAAAATAAAACTTCTTTATACTCAGAATATTAATATTTATAATTTTTTACCTTTGTTACACAAAAATACGTCACCGTGCTGCTGCGGGAACAGACGCAGGAAGTGCAGGCAGAGAGGGGGCGGGGCTGAGGGCTGTCAATCACAGTGACTGGGGTTAAAGGGCAGTGCCACCAAAAAATGGCATCTGGGCAGTTTATTGTGTAAAGTTCAGAGATGAAAGTTCTTGTTTTATTTTGTAGAGAAGTGCTCATGGCTGAAAGACGACTTCCTGTTTCTGTTTCATGAAGACATGTGACCAGGAACAGGAAGTGACGGTTTGATGCCACTGAACTGAAACTTCACACAAACCTCCAAATAATTAATGGATCCTGAAATAATCCAGTCGTTATTTCATGTGAGCAAATGATCAATTAACATGTTTGTGTGCAGCACATAACGACTTTGACGCACACGGTTAGAGGACATGACGTCATGTCAGGTGGTCGTGTGTGGAAGACGACAGAGAGCTGAAGGGAAGCTGGAACTGGATCCAGAGGTGAGAAAACCTCATTAACATCTGTAATCACACTAATTACAACAAATCCAGTCTCATGTGTTTCAGATCAGGAAGAACGTTCAAAAACAACAGGCTAATATCACTGTTTAATCAATACTTCTGTTGTTTGCAGCCTTTAAAGAACACCATTTCCCATAAGCCCTAGAGCCCTGCAGGTTACACATCACATGGCAAAGAGATCACAGCTGCTGAACAGATCCTGGACCACAACACTGCAGCTCTCTGTAGCTTCACGATTCTTTCAGGACAGTTTTAAGATGAAGGAGCGATGTCAGTGTTCTTGTGGAACAGTCTTTAAAGAACCTGAAGGGACGATAAAGCTCTGAGCCTGAGGAGCGACGGCACTGAAGCCGTCGGACCAACCGAATCTCAGCGGGGGGAAAAAGATGCAGATGTGTCGTCGGGGTAACCGCACACTGATGTGAAACAACCTCCGTGTTGTTTCTCCCGCTCGACCTCTGCATCGTTCAACACATTCATCTTCATCGTTGCATAATGTTCAGTTAGAGACGATTCATGTGCAACAACTGCAGCCGAGTGCATCAGATTGTAACGCCAGCGCAAGACGCTACTGTAGAGAGGGAATGTGGACGGACATACAGACAGACAGACAGACAGACAGACAGACGGACACTGGTCTCAGTCTGAAGGATGAAACATGAAGCTGACCTTCCCTGAGCCACGCTTCATGCCTCAGCCTCCAGCCTCCAGCTTCCAGCCTTCAGCCTCCAGCTTCCAGCCTCCAGCCTCCAGCCTTCAGCCTCCAGCCTCCAGCCTTCAGCCTCCAGCCTCCAGCCTCCAGCCTTCAGCCTTCAGCCTCCAGCCTCCAGCCTCCAGCCTTCAGCCTTCAGCCTCCAGCCTTCAGCCTCCAGCCTCCAGCCTTCAGCCTCCAGACTGCGACTCAGTGACGTGAAGTCTGATGGAGAAACTGGAGGATGAACTCTCTGTGATCAGACAGGGCGCTCATTTCCTCCCTCTCTAGTCCAGTTAAGTCCGGTCTAAAGATGTTTTTGAGATGATGTGGACTGGACTCGAGGGGTCCTGACTTTATACTGCCGTGTGATCAGAGTCAGACGCCTCTGATTGACTGATGATGAGACGTCTGAGTTTTAAATTTTAAAAGAGATGATCTTTGTCTGCAGATGAACTTTAAAAAACTACTAAAATATTTGTGAATATCACTGAGTTTCCTCAGCTGATGATTTATAATTCATTTCACATAAAAGAGAACAGAGTGCCCCGTGTGATCACAGTCTGATCTGAGGGTTTAAAGCTGCTTTCATCGAACAGTTGGGGGCAACATGGCGACTGTTGAACCTGAACTTCATCCCAAACCTTCAACCTGCTTCTCATTCTGAAATAAGACCAGAGCAGTTTGTTCTGAGGAGAATCTCTCTGAACTGACATCTCAAATATATTCATGTGTATTTCTTTAAATATATAAACTCTGTGTTTCATGGCTGAGCTCCTGTCAAAGTGGCTGATAGAGCAGAGGAAGCCTCTGCTGGTGGTTATCTCCTGACCTAATGGCAGTTTGGGGTAAAGCGGCGTCTTTCCTGCGGCGTGGCAGCAGGATGAAGCGGACAGGAAACAGAAGGTCTGTCCAGGTGCATAAAGCTTTTCAAGATCTTCCAAGCGCTGCTGGTTTTTTTTTTTCTTACACAAAGCCGACGTCACGTGAGCATTTGATTCCTGCGTGTTTTGCATTTACGCGAGTGCATTTGTCAACATGCAGATAAGACTCAACAAGCTAATGCCTAAAGAGAAGCAACTTGGTTTTTCTTGACTTCAAGCTTCGCAAGAGCGTTTTCAGTAAGTGCCTTCGACGGAAAAACTCCCCCTCCATCAGTTCACTCTGACGCACGACCGAAACCTCAGGTCCGTCCCTCCGAGACTCCGTCACTGAACGACGGAGAGATTCCCCAGTCACGTCCAAACCTCGCTCTGCAGGCCGTCCAGCCGGGGGAGTGGTGAGTGGGCGGCGTTCCTCTCCGCCTCCGTCAGGGTGGCGCCGTCTCTTCGCCGGATTCCCACCGAGCTCCTGGAGTGGAGTGGAGGGGGGGTGGGGGTGGCGGGATCACTTCAACCGGTCGGATCGGAAGGAGTCCTCCACGGCCGGGTCGGCGAGCATCAGGTCGCCGTCCAGCATGTCCAGAGCCAGCGGGTCCATCCGGAGCGGGTCGTCCAGGGAGAACGGGTCCATCTCGAAGCCGGGGACGTGGGACAGAGCGCTGGCGATCTCTTTGGACAGACCTGGGGGAGAGTCTCCTGCAGGGAGGGGGGGGGGGGGGCATGTTAAACTGATGGATTTAAATCTTCTTCCAGTCGTCACATTAAACATCAGCTGCTCTCACCCACCTGTGAGGATGATGTTGGGCACGTTGTGTCGTCCCTCCCCGCTGCTGTAGTTCTGGTTCTGGTTGTTGAGGAGCTGCTGGTCCCCGGGGTCCTGCAGGCCCAGGGGCCCCTGGGTGTTGGAGGGGAACTGGTTCTTGTCCGTGCTGCCGCAGCTCAGACCGCTGTGGTTCAGGGTCAGACCGTCCCCCTGGTTCGCCGCTGTGAACTGACACAGGAAGAGAAGAGGTCCAGAGAATAAACACGGACATGAAGATTCATCGTGTGCTCCAGGAGAGACTGTGTGAACAGCTGAACACTTGAATGACATCACTTCTCCCTCGTCTCTACGACGCCCGGCCTTTCTCTCCAGCTTCCACATCAGGTGCAAACAGTTCTGCAGGTGGTGGATCCACCAGAGGGAGAGATACAAGGCTCCAACAGTGACATTACATTTTGACATTAAAAACAAGACCTGAACCGAAAACATTAAACAGATTACAATCTGATTTATGATTTATGATGCGTTTTTCGATCTTCAGATTATTTCCTTCAGGTCTTGGTGCAGCAGAGATTTTATCATCTTTCACACGTGGAAACAAAGCTCAGAATTCGTTTTTTCCCCTCTGAGGCCATTAATTTGAAAAATCCAATTAACCATTGATTAAAACAAAAAAAAAAACCCACCATTTTCCAAGATGGCCACCCCCTTTATGGCATTGGAAACACATATTTCACCATTGAACAGATTTCAATGAGTCAAGCTCATGTCAAATTCACAATTCTTGAATGAATATCAATTTAAATAATTAAAATTGATATGATTGTCCTGTTTCAGCAGGACTTTTAATTTGTAAAACTGTTAACATTCTCACAGGTTCAATTTCACCTTCTACGTTGTTAAAGTTTATGATTTGAAGATCTTTCACATGGGAAAATTGTGGGTGAATTTATTGTAAAAAAAACAAAACAAAAAAAAAAGACATTTCCATTGAGGGGGTTAGGGTGCCTCTCTTTGTTTAGGTTTGTTTCCATTGGTTCCTTATTAGTGAGCGCACAGCAAAGAGACGCAGTGTGACCTTCAATAAAGAGCTGAATCAGCGATGTGCTCGGGAACAGAAAACCACCACTGAGCAGAAGGTGAGCTGGATATTTTTGTCCTGTTTCTACTTCCTGTCTGCCGAGAACGACACGTTCCACAACACAACGATGAGCCGAGACACGTGACGCCGGCGTCCCTGCAGTTATCTACAGCTTCAGATGACATCACGTGAAGGTGAGCCGTTACCTGCTGGTTGGCTTTTCCCGTGAGCTGCAGGCTCAGGTACGGGTCGTCCAGCAGAGAGTTGAACAAGGCATCCTGGGAAAAAAAAAAAACATAAAAGAAATGTTGGTTACAGGCGTCCTCACAGATGCTGAAGCATCAACACTTTCCCTCCATTTCTGTTTCACTTACATGTTTTCTTACTGTTTTAATCAAACATCAACCCTTTCAGCGAGGCTGAAAAACACTGAAGAACCAGAAGCTGCAGTTCCTCTAACGACCACTAGAGTCTGGCTCCAACAGTGAGTCAGTCCCCATAGACTCCCATGTTAAAATGTCCAACTTTACAGCAGAAATAAACATGTTTACAGCCTGGTACAAAAACTGTTTTGGTCTCTAGAGCTAATTTCCTCCTTCATGACACCTGTTTATATAACTCACCTGTTTACATTTTATTAAGGACTAAAGTTATGGAGAGTCTTTGACCATTTTTAGGTTAGCTGCGAGTTAGGGGGCGGAGTCAGACACTGCCAAGATGGCGATGGTGGAGCAGCTTTATTTACAGTCTGGTTTTAGTCAGTAATTTTTCTGACGTGTTTAATGACTCAGTGTGCAGCTTTTTCTGACCTCTTCATCCTCCATCAGGACATCTTGGATTTTATTGCTCCAGTCAGTGTCACGATCAGCTGTTACTACATTTGTCCGACCTAGGGTTGCAATTTGTCTTGGCCGAGACATATTAAAGATATCAGATTACATGTGGAGCAGCTCATAAAAATAATCTCTGCTAACATTTAGTTTCACCTACAAACCACTAACTGTGACGCTGTACTGATTCTGTTCTACGGATAACTGAATGTAACAGGAGACTACACGTTGTTTATATTTCAGATCCGTATCTGAGGATGGATCCATTCATTTCCTCATGTTCGAGTTGATCTTCGATTACTCGTCATCACCCCTGGTCCGACCACAGTGTCGTAATGTTCTCATGACAAACACAAAGATGTGAGATGTTGTGATTTGTGTCGCAGCTTCGTTGTAGAGCTGAGAGCAGCTCGTTGATTCGCTCAGCTGCAGCTTTAACCAGGTGAATCCCTGAAGGCTGCAACCTCAGCAGAGAGGACGCCTCCTGCTGATCAGCTCATCAAATGCCTCGTCCCCTCAGTGAGCGATGACGTCGCCTCAGCAGAATGCCACAAATACAACCAGGTGAGTGTTTGTGTGATGTGAAAGGTGAAATGAAAGACACTGTGAACACACACACCTCTGGTCCTTAGAGACGAGGTTGGATGAGCTACAACTGGAAGTCCAGCTGTTCAAATGAAGCCTTTAATGTGAATAAAATCATTTGATTTCCTGTTGTTTCTGTCACTAACCGACACCCACACAAACGTCACAGTGTAAACCCGTACATGTGCACAGAGCAGGAGAAATGAAACGAATGAGAAACGATGACGTGAGGCCGAGTTACAAAACTGAACTGGTTTGTTCTGCTTCACCAGAGCCGACCACACTGAGCACGGCCACATAAATAAAAATGATTCAATCAGTTAAATCCAATAAAACGTTTCCACTTACTAAAAATATTTCACAGGCATCTTCAGATGACGCAGTGTTTTGGTAAAGAGACCAAAACAGATGAAAGCTGCTCAGACAGTTTGGCTGGAAGGTGAATCCTGAAGGTTTTATTCATCTTTATCTTTTTAAAGCTCCATATTTTCTTCTTGTTCTGTGTTTTATTTGAAGGGTTGATCCCATCAACAGACATCTCATCTCTCAGGCATTCGCACAGTTTACCTCTTTTAAAGAAGTGTTTCCCTCCGTGGACCTTTTAAAGACTAAACTGAAAACCATTGTGTTTCCTCTGAACTAAGGTTTTACTTTTCACTTTTAGTCTTTAACTCTCCGCCTCTGTCCGTGCGACAGTTTCATCCTCCTTTGTATTTAATTAATTCCGGTTCATTTAAATGTTCTTTATAAATAAACTTGATTTGATTTGATATTAAAACTGTCTTCAAACACATTAACTCAGACAACTACACATCAAGAGTATCACAAATCTTTATGTGAGCCTTCCTGCTGCTCAGAGGATGAACCCCCATGATCCCCTGACCTTTCCCTTTAGTGCCACCACCAGAAGAAAGTTACCCATAACACTTTGATTCATGCTAAGGTACCTTAAGCTAACAATGACCTCATTATCAGCTGAAATATTCTGTGGATATTCATGGTCCCAAATGGGTGAACCCTCATGATTTCGGTGACCTTGTCTGAACTTTCCCTTTAGTGCCACATTCAGAACCAAACTCCCTGTAACACTTTGATTCTGCTAAGGTATCTTAAACTAACAATTACCCAATTATCAGATCAAATATTCTGTGGATATCTATGGTCCCCAGAGGATGAACCCTCATGATTTTCCTGCTGTGTCACTATCGGGACAAAGTTCTCACTTGTACATAAAAAACATCTAAATTCAAAGCGCAGATTGACACGAAAACTTGAACACATTCGTGCTTCTCAGAGGATGAACCCTTTAGATTGTCGCTGTCGTTACTCACATTGTAGAGGTCCGTGGCCGGGTTGTGGCTGATCTGTTGGAGCTGCGGGAGGCCGCCGACTCTGTGCTGCTCCACCTGCTGCTCCGCTTCATGTTTGACGTGACACTGAGAGGACGAGGAGCTCTGGACGCACTGATCCAACGCGCTCTCGTTCTTTATCAGCGACGTGTTCGTTGTGTTCATGTGCGGCACCATCTGCCTCTGTTGCTGCAGAGAAACAGACACACCATCGCCATCATCATCTGTGTGAGCTGAACTAAACAGCTGAGTGTTATTTATCTCTTAACGTGGATGAATCTTACCGTTCCAAAGTGCTGCTGCATGTGCTGGTTGCGCAGGTTCTGCAGGTGGAGCTGCTGCTGCTGCTGCTGCTGCTGCTGCTGCTGGGCGGTGGGCCGCGGCTGCTGGAGGCGGTGCAGCTGTTGGTGGTGGTGTTGACCCAGCGGAGGAGGCTGCTGGCCGGGCTGGGAGCCGGGCAGACCGGGGAGGGACTGGTGGGGGCCCGGCTGGTGCTGGTGGGATTGACTGAGGGGGTACGGAGGAAGCCTCTGGTCCAGGGGCAGTTTGCTGGTGTCCAGAGGGACGCCCTGTGGAGGGAGGCGGGGCTGTTAGCAGGAAGTTTATCGGTACCACTTCACAATAAGACGACCCTTATAAAGGATTTATAAATGGTTCATGATCAGGTTATTAATTCATAATAATAATCATAAATAAACAATTACAAACAAGTTATAGCAGGATTCATACATTGATGCAGGCTCACTATTTGGCAAGGTCAAGTTAATGCTTCCTACTCCTTAATCTTCGAGTTACTACCATTTATAACTGGTAACAGGAACCTTCATTTAAAGTGTAACTCGCCATTTATTAAAATGCCAAACTTTCTGACCATTAAGATCACTAGTGACTGAACAAACGTGATGAAGCAGCAGCTACAGATGCAGATACATGAGGGCTCACTATTTGACAAGCAACAAGTCACTGTTGCCCCTTTGATTTGATGTGTTATTACAGCTTATTAATGATTTATAAAGTGTTATCGAGCCGATTAATGAATAAATAAATAAAGCTGCCCTTCACTAACCATGAGCATGTGATCGCACTTTAAACCGCCACAAACAAAAACCACAATTATAAATCAACTCAGCCGCAGAGCTGAAGCTGGTTCTGTGGATGAACAACCCAAGACTCAAGAATGAACTGATTAGTTTTTGGTGGCTAAAGGTCAAAGGTCAAGGTCACTAAAACACTTTTTAGCCACTACTCAAGACTTCACAGCAGTTGTGACCAAATTTAACACACGGTTCATATTTTCTCTGACGCTGGAGAAACAGGAAGTGACCTGGAACTAGTCTGAGTGGCAGAGGGATACGACCACGAGGATGTGACTCTAGTTTTAGGGACTGTTTTGATTGGTTGTTCATGTCGGGACAGCGGTATAAGAAAGGTGTGTAGGTATGTTTCCCTTGTGTGTCCCAGACGGTTTTAAATCAAACTTCAGTTCCATTTATTTTAGTCCTTATTAATATTGACACGTAGTAAACACCCAGAGATAAAAACACACAGAGGTCAAAAGAAAGAAAAGAGTAAATAAATAAACTTTCACTGCTGCGTTTATGTGATGATAAAGATCATATCTGTTTTATATTTATCACCATATTTAAACATTAAACAAGTGAACCACTCATTCTTAATTCATTCTCCACAGGTTTTCCCTCTGACAGATCTTCCTTTTATATGTGCTGAATCATTCACACTGACTCTCTGAGTTCATACTAAATCATTTTGCTTTGTCCACGATGTGTGCAGTTTTAAAGTCGGACATGTTGGATCATCTGATTGGTTGTTAAATGCAGTGGCTGTGACAGTGTGTGTGTGTGTGTTACCTGTGTGATGGAGGAGAGGGTGGGGGAGATGGTGGGGGAGAACTGCTTGGAGTGATGCCTCCGCGACTCCCCTCCCATGGGCAGGATGAGCGGGGACAGCTGGGCTCGTCTCCGCGGCGACGTGCTTAGCGACGGCTGACCCTGTCCGCTGAGCAGCGGCGAATAGGAGGAGGAGCAGGAGCTGGACCCGCCCACTCCGCTGCTGTAGCTGGGGTTACCGCTGGACGCCGACTGGAGGGAGGAGTTACTGAGGGAGGAGTGCAGCGATTGGCTGCTGAGGGAGGACGGCAGGGAGGGGGAGGAGCTGAGGGACGACTGCAGCGAGGGGTTGCTGAGAGACGAGTGCAGGGAGGCGGAGCTCAGAGAGTTAGAGAAGGAGTGGCTGCTGAGTGACGACTGGATGTTGGGGTTGCTTAGCGACGACTGCAGGGAGGGGTTGCTGAGCGTGCTCTGTAGAGACGCCAGGAGACCTGAGGAGGGAAAACAGGAAACTATGAACAGAGAGAAAAAGACAGATTTAATCTCTTAAACTGGATTGTGGTACAATGAATTCTGGGTAAATTAAGAATTTTTTTCAAAAGAAAATAAAAGAAAACAAAAACAAATGGCCGCCGGAGGAACCACATCAGCTCAGCTCCGTTTACCCTCAACAGGAAATGTCACAGGACATTTTACTTTGGAGCAGCAGTCCTCCCTCGTTAGTGGCTGATGAGGATCCAAACAAATAAATTAAATAAATAGATATTTTTGTCTTTTGAGATGATCACTGTGTCAGATGAGGCCCTGACCAATCACAGCGTAGCATTCGTCTCGACCTCTGCCACTAGTGTTAGAAGTTTTCTCCTGGTTGGAACTTTTTGTTTTTATCGTAATGAAATGAGACAAATCTTTAACCAGCTTAACCTTCTTCTCCTTGTGCTTCAGTTGTGTGTTTGTCCTGCGCTGTGAGAGTGACAGTGAACACGAGACGCAGAGCGACCTCCAGCTGAGAGACGGATGAAGTCGCAGCTCGCAGTGACGAGTTTCTGAATCAACCAATCAACCGTTTACCAATAATAAACCTCATTAATTAGTGACTGTTGCTGCATCACTGTAACTAATGGTGAATCAGTGCTGTAGATACACTGACACATATCTTCCCGAGCAACAAGCTCCAGCTACAGCACCCCCACCCCCCCTACCCCCCAACCCCAACCCCCTCCTCTGTGGCCTCACTTTAAAAATAAACCTGCTCGGGGACTCGGCCCCCCAGGGAGACGGCGGCCTGTTTCACCTGAGCTCCTCCCCAGGTGATCAGAGGAGGTGAAAACATCAGCTCCGTCCCCAAACGCTCCCTCCTCCTCCTGCCCCAGCCCCCTCCCCCTCCTCAGCCCCCTCCCCCTCCTCTCCTACAGTCTAACTTCTTTTTATAACCTCAGTAGGTCAGGTGCGTCCACGATCTGCCTCTGTGAGTTTTCTGACCTGGTTTCAACGTAAAACCAGGAACAAGACACAGATCAATTACTTATTCATTATTATGAGCTTAGAATGATCGATTCTGGACACAAGTCACACCTGTCCGCACCTGTACGCATCTGTACACTCCAGGGTCCAGATGCATAAAACTCTGTAGCTTCATGACTGAAACTATGTGACACACCAAACCTATATAACCTATATATATATATAAATATAAATATATATATATATATATACACATATATAAATCTCTCTATATAAAGTTCTCATGGTTCCTCTTTATAAATCTCACTCACACGTGAACGAACCTTAATCGATCAGTTTGTCTCATGTGATCAGACATCAGACAATTGTCTAATGTAATGTCCTGTTTCAAGAATATGAAACAAGTTATTTCTGTTTATGAATTGTTATGAATTGTTATCTCAGTAAAACTGATGATGATGATGATGATGAAGGAAGTTCTGTGAAGTTGTTATTTTATTTAAATTACGTGTCTCAGTTTATTTAGTATCTTGCTTCACTTTGGAAACCGTGCGTTCACATGAGTGAAGTGACACATTCTGTGTTTATTCATTATTATTTATGAGCGGGAAGCGTGAAACTCGTCAATACACAGCGCCCTCAATTCTTAAAGGTCTGTCGCTCGCCTCGTGGCGGGTGGACTTGACCTCGCCACTCATCATTATTTATCATCACGTTCGTATATTATGATTATATTCTCATGTATATAATAATATGTATCATTAAAGATCTCTGTAGATATTTTTACTCCGGGAACTGAGAATTAAAAAGCTCCTGTGTTCTGAGAAAAGCCAAGATGCTTCTAATACCTGGAAACACATTGGTCTCACACTTTCAAAGTAAAAGCTGACAGCGTGTGGTTCCACGTGACTCTGTCTGACCACCAGCCTCATGAAGACCACATGATGATCCAGGCTCAGGTTTTGGAGCGGCGGCCTGAGGTCTGAATGATGAAACACAGCGACACTTTCCGACTGCAGCTCGACCCACGAGAGCAGAATCCTCTCTCTCTCCTGTCTGTGGCTAAATTTAGAGCGCCGCTCCGCAGTACATCCCCCTTTGTTTCATGTCGTCTGCTCTCACCCACATACTTCCTCTGCTGCGCCTCACATCAGTCACTGAGCCGACGCTTTCATCCACACTGATTCACAACCACCGAGCAGCTCAGAGTCCAGACGGAGGACACTTCAGCTCAACTGTCACCACAGCGACTCGACCAGGACGGCGTCTCTCGTCTCTTTGTCCAGTGTCAGTGCACGACCTGACCTGACATTAATATATGATGAAGACAGTGACAGAAAGCTACATCAACAAAGGTTGTACTCATAAAGAATACAACTGAATTTATTTTATTTGTCATCAACAAATCCCATGAAAAGACCCAAAATATCAATATATTCAAAAGTTGTATCTGTCATTTGTATTAATTAGTAGTAATTACGTTATATATGTTAAGTTAAAGCTCCATGTTTCTTCTTCTTCTGTGTTTTATTTGAAGTGTTGATCCATCAGAAGATATAAAAACCATCTCAGTGTAGTTTTACATCTCCTCTCTCAGACTTCTCTCTGGAGCTCTAGTAACAACAGGTCAGTGAGCCAATCAGAAGAGAGGAGCCTCTGAGCCTCTCTTCTGATTGGCTGACTGTTTTCTGAGTGATCCAATAAAAATATAGCAGATTTCAGGTAAAAACACTCAGAGAAACCAAATCCTGCAAGGTTTGGATGGTGGGTCCAGGTGGGCGGGGCTTGGTGACTGCTTTGTTGTGACATCACAAAGTTCCAGAAGTCCTGACGGCTGGTTTTAAGGCTCAGTTTCTGAATACAGGCTGTGTGCATTTCTCTGTGGACTGAGGCTTTGATACTTTCACAGTATTAATATAGAACCTAGACCTGATCTATAATCAAACTACACATGGACAGAGACCTTTACACTGGAGGAGCTTTAACATCTGAGACCTGTGATGTCTAAAAATAAGTCTGACCTGTCAGGAAACACGAAGATCTAAGATCTAAACCATCTTATTTGGAAATCAAAGTGAAAATGAGCAAAGCTTAAATGTCAGTAATAATCCTTCACGGCACAGAAAGACTGAGCTTACACCTCCAGTAAATACAGCAGATCAAAGTCGACGCAGGAAGTGGGTCTGTGAGCAGCTCTTGGTAACGTTACTGCTCGTCTTCATTCCCTCTCTGAAGTTTGACTCAACTGTTTCAACCTGTCTGACTGTTTTTCAGTGATATCCCAGATTTGATATTTACTCTGTGAGCACAAGGTTTTCATGACTGATGGAAATGATCGACAGAACTCTCTCCTGTAATACTGTTTCCAAAATGTTTGGACAATGTGAATTCAAAAAACTCTTCAGCATAAAAAATAAATAAGCAGTTTTTCAAACAAACGTCTCTGATGTAATTTTACTGTCAGATCCACAACAACACTCCCTCTCTGCTTCCAGGACACAAGACAGAACTGGTCACTGGATCACTCTGCACTTACTGCAGCGCCGCTTCACAAAAACAACATTTCTTCACACGTTCACCAAAATCTGGAGCCAGATTTAATTTTACATTCGAGCAAAAACACATTTCACACAGGCACATAAACACCAGCTGACGGAGGGACGCTCTCCTCTGAGGCTCGCTCTGTCTGAAACAAATACATTCGAATGGATTCAACAATAACTTCAAATGGAAAAGATGTTTTTGTTAAAGAAAACTGCAAAGACTGAAACAACTTGTGTTTTTTATTCTGATGCACTGAGCAAATAATAAAGATTGTTTTGTTTTTTTCACCACAAAAATATACTCAGTTCATCTTTGAGTTGAAGTGAGTGTTTCTGCCAAATCTGAGGAAAGTTTTACTTTAAGTGTTTCTGAGATTTGAGTTGACCTTTGACCTCCCGATCAGTCCATCCTCCAGTTCAAGGGAGTGTGTGTGCCACATGTGATAAAAATCCCTCCAGAACTTCCTGTGACACCGTGTTCACCAGAACGAGACGGACGGATGACAGACTCTCAAAGGCATCTATTATCTTTAAACCCCAACCGGACTGAACCAGACTGAACCGGACTGAACCGGACTGAAACCGGACTGAACCGGACTGAACCGGACTGAACCGGACTGAACCAGACTGAACCAGACTGAACCGGACTGAAACCGGACTTGGTCTGATCAGTGGAGACACACAAATCAGACCTAGACTCAGCCCAACAATAAATCAACAAACACACACACACACACACACACACACACACACACACACACACACACACACACACACACAGACACACACACACACACACACACAGTACCGACCTGGCGTGTGGTGATGGAAGTTGCCGTTGCCTCCCGTTGCGTTGGCAGCATTGATGCCCAGCTGCGTGAGGGTGGAGGCCAAGTTCCCGGTGCTGCTGCCCCCGCTCAGAGAGGAGGATCCGGGGTAGCCGGGCTCGTCCTGGTCCAGCGGCGTGGGCAGCGGGGAGGGGAAGTGGAGGCTGGACAGGTCGGGCAGTGAGCCGCCGGTGTTGAGAGCTGAGGGGACGCCGTGAGCCGGCGTGGACGGCTGCTCCGGGGACGTAAAGATACTGGGGGGGCAGAAGAATCAGACAAGTGTCATTAAAATAATGGCCTGACGCGTTTCTGCACAACATTATGATGTCACAGTGAAGTTGACCTTTGACCTGTTGGGATGTCATCACTTCATCATTTTATCCTTTTGGACATTTGACTTAAATTGTCATAATGAGCATTTGGATTTGTGAGTTAAGGCCAAAAAAAGTGTGTTTTTTGTCACAGGGAACTTGACCTTTGACCTTTGGCCACCAAATTCTAATCAGCTCATCCCTGAGTCCAAGTGAATGTTTGTACCAAATCTGAAGAAGCTCCCTGGAGGCGTTTCTCAGAGACAGTATCACGTTCACGAGACTGAAACGCCTCCGGCCGCAGAGACGTGAAAACACAGACTCTTCTTCATTTCAAACACCAACATTTAACTTCCTGTCCCTGGACGTCTCCTTCAGGGCCGTGAGTTCCTGTGGTCACAGGCTGGAGACAACGTTTGATATTTGACACTTTCGAGTTAAAGCTGAGAAACAAACGCAGCAGGAGAGGAAGCGACTCACAGGGAGTCAGAGGAGGAGAAGAAGAAGAAGAAGAAGAGGAAGAGTCCGACCCTGGTTCAAAAGGACTGATCCAGTTCAGGCCACACTGAAGAAAAGAGTGTGTGCATGTGTGAGTTTAGTGGAGTTGGACTTACTTGATGCCAGGGACTTCACAGGACTTGGGTCTGGACGACAACAGAGGCAACTGGAGACAGAAACATGACGAAGGAAATCAGATGAAGTCACCTTCACTTGTTAAAACACGTTTGTAGATGTTCAGAGATAAATTTTACATAAAGAAATAATAAGAAAACGTAAAGAGTAACATTCAGCTTCAATCAGACAGTAAAATATTAATGAAATAATTAAAGAATTTAAAAACATAGATAACAGCAGAAATAAATGTGGGGCCAGTCACTTCTGCTCAGCTGAGGGAGTTACTGAAGGTGCTGCACAGAATCTCTTCACAGGTTTCCTCAGTTAAGGAAAACAGTTAAAGCATTTGCAGCAGTGAAAGAGATTTTACAGCAGTAAAGTTCTACAGTTTCCATGGAGACCATCTGTTTGCTGGCATTAGCTTGGTACGTCACTATACTGAGATCAGGAGAAAGCCTTAAACACTGAAGTGAACATGTTAAAGCCGGTACCTTCTTGGTGTCCCAGGGTTTGAGCATTTTCCCTTCGTCCAACACGTTCTCTTCAATGGGAGGAACCGGGTACGGAAACACTGAGGGACAAAAGACTGCGGCTTTAATCCAAAAGAACATTTCAATATAAAAGTGTTGAAGCTTCTTCCTGTGTATGAGTTTAAAGTTTAAAATGATTTAAATTGAGAGCAACGAGAAATTCAAGTTTGTCAATGAGCATATTATTATATTATATATTACATATAATATTTAAATAAAACATGTGTAGTGTAAACAACATGAACACAATGTGTTTGTGCCTGAGAGACAAATAAACAGCTACAGTCTGAAATCTGAACATGTTTATAATAAATAAAATGTTCAATGTGTTTGAATGTAACTCACTTCTTCTGCCCTCTCCATCGCTCTGACCTGAGAGAGAGAGAGACAGGGAGAGAGAGAGAGAGACAGGGAGAGAGAGACAGGGAGAGATAGAGAGAGAGAGAAACAGGGAGAGAGAGAGAGAGGGAGAGACAGGGGAGAGAGAGAGAGAGACAGGGAGAGAGAGAGAGAGACAGGGAGAGAGAGACAGGGAGAGATAGAGAGAGAGAGAAACAGGGAGAGAGAGAGAGAGGGAGAGACAGGGGAGAGAGAGAGAGAGACAGGGAGAGAGAGAGAGAGACAGGGAGAGAGAGACAGGGAGAGATAGAGAGAGAGAGAAACAGGGAGAGAGAGAGAGAGGGAGAGACAGGGGAGAGAGAGAGAGAGACAGGGAGAGAGAGAGAGAGAGAGGGAGAGAGAGACAGGGAGAGAGAGAGAGAGAGAGGGAGAGAGAGAGAGAGAGACAGGGAGAGGGAGAGAGAGAGAGAGACGGGGGGGGGACGGGGGGGAGAGAGAGACAGACAGGGGGAGAGAGAGAGAGAGACAGGTGGGAGAGAGAGAGAGACAGGGAGAGAGACAGAGACAGGGAGAGAGAGACAGGGAGAGAGACAGAGAGAGACAGGGAGAGAGAGACAGAGACAGAGACAGAGAGAGAGAGAGAGAGACAGGCAGAGTTAGTGTCAGTTTACCTTCAGAACTTCCTGACTCAGCAGAAACTGTTTTCACTCAGATCTTAATCACTGAGGAACAAATATCACACTCACTTCTGTCAGGGAGGCTTTAAGACAGACAGACAGGCAGACAGAGAGACAGGCAGACAGACAGGCAGACAGGCAGAGAGACAGGCAGAGAGACAGACAGAGAGACAGGCAGAGAGAGAGACAAGCAGACAGACAGACAGACAGGCAGAGAGACAAGCAGACAGACAGACAGACAGGCAGAGAGACAGGCAGAGAGAGAGACAAGCAGACAGAGAGACAGGCAGAGAGACAGGCAGACAGACAGGCAGAGACACAGACAGACAGAGAGACAGGCAGACAGACAGGCAGAGAGACAGACAGACAGACAGGCAGACAGAGAGACAGGCAGAGAGACAGGCAGAGAGACAAGCAGACAGACAGGCAGACAGAGAGACAGGCAGACAGACAGGCAGACAGAGAGACAGGCAGACAGACAGACAGATAGACAGAGAGACACACAGACAGGCAGAGAGACAGGCAGACAGACAGGCAGAGACACAGACAGACAGAGAGACAGGCAGACAGACAGGCAGACAGAGAGACAGACAGACAGGCAGACAGAGAGACAGGCAGACAGACAGGCAGACAGAGAGACAGGCAGACAGACAGACAGATAGACAGAGAGACACACAGACAGGCAGAGAGACAGGCAGAGAGACAGGCAGAGAGAGAGACAAGCAGACAGAGAGACAAGCAGACAGGCAGACAGAGAGACAGGCAGGCAGACAGACAGACAGGCAGACAGGAAGCTGAAGGTGACTGATTCTCTACAGTTAAAACTCAACGTAACTCTTTCCTGCTCCTGATTGGATGAACAATCTTCTTCTGCTTGTTGTTTTCTTGTGTTTGTTTGTTTACATGTTTGTGTTTACAGTATATTTACTCTGCTTTCCTTCTGTTTAACTTTTTCTATACATTTGTTTTACCTGCTTTTATTTACTTTAATTACTTTGAGTTTAAATGAGCTTGAGGAATAAACTTGACTCAGAGACTGAAGATCAGAGTGGATCACAGCAGGAGACTCTTCGTCTCTGTGGCGTCTTCATCAGGTCTCAGCTGCAGGATCCACAGTAACAACATCTGCCCTGAGGTCGTCCTCTCAGTGTCTCAGTCTGACCTCCACTAGAGTCGTCCTGTGTTTTATTGTGACTTTTCTTTCGCAGTGTGTCGAGTGTTTGTGTTTTGGCGTGGAGCTGCTGTCTCACCGCTGCGTCTGCTGCTCTGGGGGGTGAAGGTGGGTCCACCTGTGGTGAAGGGGTCTCCTGTGGGAGGGTTCATCACACTGGTGTGGAGGGCCGAGTCGGAGTTGGTCCTGTGGGGGGGAGGGCGACACACACACACACACACACACACACACACACACAGACACACACACACACACACACACACACACACAGAATTAAAGGGTGTAGAGAGATCAGGTCACGCTGCTCGTTGGGAATCAAAGCCAACTGACGTTTTGTTTCTTTCCTCAGACGACATCGGGACGTTTCATCGTCCTGAGGTGTTTTCAGAAAGTATTTCTCCTCTTACGTAACGCAGCTCCTCACTGAAACCAACGTACGTGCACATGTTGAAGTTAAAGCATTTCAGCTGCTTCTGGTTGGACTCCGCTACAGATAATTACCTCCTGAACTCAGCCGATTACTGACGCGGCTGATTCTGCTTTTTGGTGTCTCGGACTTTACAGAAATATTTACTCAGCAGCTCAGCAGATTAAAAGAGAGTGAACCTAGTGAACCATCAACGTGAGAAGGAGAGACATGGAAGGATGAAGAGGACGAGGAAAGAAGGATGAAGAGGAAAGGACTGAGGATTTATGAGAAAGAAGAATTAAAATCATAAAAAGTAAAAAGTCTCATTTTCACCGAAATGTTTTTACTCTGTACGAGAGTGAAGGTGGGAGCTGGAGGACGACCAGCAGAAGGAAGGAAAAAGGAGGAAGTAGATGGAGGAAGAGGAAGAAGAGGATGAGGAGGATTCACCTGTTGAGTGCAGTGGTGGGGAGACGAAACAACTGGCTTTTATCCCCAGGGAAGTTTCCGGACCAATTCCTTTTCGTGATCGACAAGAACAAAAAGTTATTTTTCCTCCACCGAGTGAGAACATCGAGAAAAAGGAAAAAATGAATCGAAGAAGAAGAAGAAGAAGAAGAAGAGGAGCATGGGCTCGGAAAGCAAACGCAAGCGAAGGAAGGAGGAAGATGGAGGCAGCGAGCGAAGGTCAGAGGGAGGCTGGCGTGTCACCTGACCAGTGTGTGTGTGTGTGTGTGTGTGTGTAACAGTGCATGTATTTCAATTACAGGATTTAAGGCAAAGATAATGTTAGTCCGCCACTCAGACTAGTTCCAGGTCACTTCCTGTTGATCCAGACTGTGAAACTTTGTCATAACTGCTGTGAAGTCTTGAGTAACGGCTAAAAAGTGTTTTCTGAGGTCGCACTGACCGTGACCTTTGACCTTTATCCACCAAAACCTAATCAGTTCATCCTCGAGTCCAAGTGAATGTTTAAGCCAAATCTGAAGAAGTGCCGTCGAGGCGTCACCGAGACATCGCGTCCACGAGAATGAGACGGACGGACGACCTGAAAACAAAATGGCTGCCGGTCTGACTGTCGCCGGGCGGAGGAATAAAAACCAGAGCAGCTTGTTTTGTCTCGTCGATCAGATATTTGTCGTCTCTCCCTCACAAACACACTGAGTGTTTTATAATCGGCTGCAGAGTGAAGCTGCTGGTTCACGGAGCTGGAACAGGTGTCATGTGACCGTTGTAGCTCCGTGTTAAACACAACACACCTGCAGAGGTATCATGTGGTGCGGCTCCTCAGCGCCCCCTGTGGGTAGAGCCGCATCAGATGTTGTGGTCTGTGCTGTGAAAATTTTAACAACCAATCACAGACAAACGATATCGAAAAACCAACCAGTGCGTTGTGTTCCCGCTCTTCTAAACATGGTCTTCTCCAAATCTGGTGAAGAAACAAAACGTACGTTAACCAAAGGAATCCAAAATGGCGCATTATTTTTATAGGCGAAATGGGCGTCGCCTAAATTGGTCCAATCGGCTTCACCAAAACAACCCACTGTAAAAAAAAAAAAAAAAAAAAACTATGTTGTTCTTGGTGCAATTTGTGTCAGTTTAAGGTTCCTGATGTGAAAAAGCTGCTTCATGAAAACTGAAGCGATAAAAAATAAAAATAAAAAGCAGCGAAGAAGAAAAGCTAAGCGAGGAGAGATCCCCTGCAGCGACCTCACAACGAGACGCAGGAGAGCGTGGAGAGAGAGTCTGCTCCATGAATCAAGAAGATTTAAAACTCGCTTTCTCTGTAACTGAACGACAGAAGCCTCTTTGTGTGAGCGAAGCTAAAAACAGCTTCTCTCATTTTTAGCCTTTTCAGCCGAACGAGTGTTTTATTGCTCCCTGATCGTTATCGTTTGGCCTCTTAACATGTCGTGCTGTAAAGACTCTATGATCATTAATTAGTTCTACTGCAAGTTTTTTTATATATCCGGAGCTCTGTGAAGAGAGGCCTTTATTTATTATATTGGATGCAGGCGATTCTGATGTTTGGATTCATTTCCTGTTTTATATCTGCAGTTGATCAAATTTCACTAAGAATTCTTCCTGTTTTCTGATCTGCTGCCGTTTTAATTCGTCTGTTAACTCAAACTCAGCTGCTCCTCCATGTTTACCGCCCGCCCTGGTGGATGATGGGAAGTCACGGGTCGAACTTCTTCTTTTTCCAAGTTTGTTTTTGGCATTTATAATTAAGAAAAAATATGGAGTAATTCCAGACATTCAAGCTGGCATGAGCACCACAGAAGAAGAGCTCCGTCCAGTCACAAGAGCCGGACTCCAGCGGTCGCCATATCTCTCTGGAATCCAAAATGAACCTGAGAAACAAAAATGTGACGGAGAACGTTTCCCGCACAGACCGACAGAGACGAAGTGCAGGTGGGATTTCTCTCCGACGCTCCAACATCTTCCACTGTTTTACCAGAAAACCTGATGTTTAGAGAAACTCCAGCTGCTGGTTGGCGTCCTGACAGAGTCACAGCTGGAGCCGTCAGACGTAAACAATCTGTACTCGTCAGATTTGAGGAAGTGGCTGGAGGTTATTTACCAGTGTGTGTGTGTGTGTGTGTGTTGTGGTGTGTTAATGTGCACTGGACCTTCTGTGGCTGCGGACCGAGGCCAGTCTCTCTCTGAAGGGTAGTTGTTGTCTTGTTAGAAGAAAACCAGAAGGAACGCAGCAGGCGAAAACTAAACGACTGGAACGTCAAAGAAAACACCAGAAGAAGCCAAAAAAGAAAAAAAAGATTCCCAGAAGGATAAAGAGCAAAAAAAGAAGATTAAAAAAAAAAGAATAAAAAAAAAAAGAAGAATAAAAAGAAGAAGAAGAGGGAAAAAAGAGCAGAGAGCTCTTCAAAAACCAAGTCAGGTTTGAAGAGACGCCGGCTGAAGTCAAGTCCTGTTAGTGGTGCAGATGTTAGTGTCACAGCTGGAGCAGGAGCCTCAGTGTCACCTCATGTGATCCTCAGAAAGGGGGGGGGGGTCACCTCAAGCTGAAGGACAGTCTGTCTAGACACCGAACCTCAAGTCCTCCAGTTTTAATTTTTCTGTCAAACGTCTACGTAGTTAAATAAAGATATTCCACTGATAAATAAAATATAAAAAACTATTTATAAGGGTTTAAATAATCCCAGCTAAAGGGCACTTCTTCTTCTTCTGTTTTATCAGCACCCTGAGGAGTCTCTGGTGTTAACCTGTGATCCAAGCATGAAACTAACTGTGTTTCTGTTCGAAGATCATTTAGAGACTAAAACGCACCTAATAAGACATTTATAACTGTTTTATAGTTTATTCATAATTGTTTCATTATTCTTTGTTGAGTTAATTCCTAATTGAAATCACAGTTTCACCCATTAGAGGTGAGTTTAGCTTTGGAGGCAGGAAAACCTTCAAAACAACGAGCTAATAAAACTATTAAATCCATAAATACAGAGAGAACAATCAGCTAAGAACAAGCTAAAGAGATTCACTCTGAGGGAAGCGACGTCGTCTGTATCTTATTCTAGAGGCTGTTTCCTACTATTTGTGTGTGTGTGTGTGTGTGTGTGTGTGTGTGTGTGTGTCCATCCAGCTGAGATTGATTCAGAAACTCAAGTAGCTTCTGAATCTCAGCTGAACTTTATTTGACTCCCTGACCTTTCAGTCCGTTGTCATGTTAACGATTGTGTCTTTGCTCCTTGTTGTTTTCTTGTTTGTTGGTATGTGTATAAGTTTCTGAATACAGTATATTCACAGTGTTTGACACGTTTGTGAGACTGTCTGTGGTGATATATTTTTGTTTGTTAACAGATGAACTGAACGCTGGTGGTTGGTCTGTCGGCTGGACGCAGGTGTTTGTTTATAAACATTTCTTTTTCTTAAATTAGTGAAACTTAAAAACTGTTTCTGGGAAATTTAATCTAAAACAAAAAGGAAAAAGGATGTTGACAAATTCACTTCACTTATATTTCTGTAACTGGTGAAATTTTCTCAACTTTCCACTAAATAAAGAATTACAAAAATAAAATAAAAAATAAAAAGCTGTAGAAATGAAGTCAGTTTCTTGTGTTTTTCAGTCTGATCGTCTGAGGTGAGACTGAGGCTTCAGAAAGCTTCAGCAGCAGCAACAAGATGCTTTGGAAATAACAAACAAGCGTCCCCGCAGACAGCCACGTCTCCATGGAGACAGACAGAGAGGGGGGTGGGGGTGGGGGGTTTAACAGACAGTACCTTCTCCAGCTGGGGTCGGGGGGCGGGGACAGGTAGGCAGAGTTATACGGCGAGTTGTCCACCTGAGGAGACAAGTGGTTAAGGAAACATGTGATCCTGTCCGTGTCCTTCCTCTTTCTGTTTCTGTTTCTAATGGTTAAAACTTCTAGTGAAAAAGATCAGCTGTTTTTTTATTTCTCCACATTTTCACACTTTGTGCTGCAGCTGCTGTGAACGCACTCGGCGGTGGAGGCACGTGTTCAGGGTGATGAGAGCAGATTTAACGCTTCCTCTGCCTTTAAATGTCGCCTCTGTGCTCGAGTCGAGACGACAGATATAATTCATTTGTTCTCAGAGTCTCTGAGATGTCTGATCTTTTTTTTTTTTTTTCCGCTGCAGGAACCTCAACATCCTTCAACACGGGATTTCCCTCGACCTGAATTTCCGAAGAGCGGCGGGAGGTTTTGTCATGTGGTTCTTCTTTTGTGTTTCCAGCTGACCTGACCTCGTCACTTGAGGTGAGTGAAGGGAAGTCAGCGGCTGTGCGATCACTGATGCTCATGCTGTCACTGATTTTCAACTTCAGTCCAGATTAATGGGCCTGAAACACCCGCCGGAGAACGGCGGAAACAGGGGAGAACCCGTGACGTCGGACCTACGTCACATTTTGTTCCTTCACTCTCCAAATTCATCTGCACATGGAGGGAAATCACAGCGGTGAGTGGATAAAAGGCAGAAATAAAATTCTTACTGTTTTATTACCTGTTGCAGCAACCGAGGAGCAGCTCTCCTGATGTCGCTGTGTGCTGATCACAAGCACATAAATAGGCTTTCTAAGTCTAACTCCAATTTCTAATCACACTGTAGCCAGGTTGATCTTTTTAAAGATAGATTTTCCACAGCTGCAGGTTTCCGACTTTGTCCTGAGTTTTACAAAAATCTAAAAACCTAAACCTCGAAACAACTTCCAGGTTCAGTCACACTGACGTTTCTTAAAAGCCATAAAAAAAAACCTCCTCCACCGCAGCTGCCGCCTCCTGAAAGTTCCTTTCCCAGCAGAAATGTGGATGGATGAGGAGCCTGCAGGAGGATCTGAGGAACAACAGCGTGTTGTGTTGCTGCTGTGATCTCAGAGCAGACAAGTGTCCTGCTGACAACATGTCGTAAAGCAAACTTCACACACGATAAAACAACAGCTTCACAGCGGTGCGTTGTTAGGAGCCGTTAAAAGCTCCGGCTGTTTCAGGGATGATGAGGTAGAGATCCACTTCCTGCCGCCGTTATTTGATGTTAACGGAAGACAGCGGAGGAAAGGATGAATGATGTTCTGTCTTTTTCTTCTTCTCTACAAATCTCATGTGCAACCAGCAGTGAACGTCTCCCCCTAACGAGGATGGATGTGTCTGATGCTCTGAGCCACAGAGCTCCACTGTTTCCACTAACTATTAAAAACAGACTGTTTGGTATTTTATCTTTTCTATCTATCTTTTTTATTTTTCTTCTTGTTGGATGCCAATGATTTAATTTACTTCACTCGTCCTGAATTGTTTCTGTATTTTCTATTTTGATTTTTCAGATTCATTATTTTTGTCTCACAGGTTTTAAATGGATCATGAAGTAACTGTAGTTTATTTAGACTCACACACACACACCGTCCTGCTGCCTCAAATACTCTCTACAGCACCGAATGTGGATTCGCTGAAAATAGTCCCCAACAAATGCACCATTTATTTATTTACTTCATATTTTAATCAGCATTAAAAATAGGAATTGAAAAAAGAATCTATAAATGAACGATTAATACACCAATAAATACTCAGTTTTTCAAGTTTTTCAACATGAACACTCATTAAATAAAACATTTATAAATAAATGTATTAATTCATGAATAAATAAAAGTATTAAAAGTGAGAATATATTCCTGGATTCCCTCTTCAATTTCCATTTTCTTTCTCCAGCTGCTTTTCCTGTTAGCTAATCAATTAGCTTAATCATTTAGCCTTTCACTGACACTGACCCAACCAATCACAGAGCTTGTTGCAGCTAATCGATTAGCTACCAGGAAAAGCAGCTGGAATAAGGAAATGGAAATTGAAGTGGGAATCCATTTTTAAAATGTCTTTTCAAATAGTTTTTATTATTTATTCTTGAAACAATAAAGGTATTTATAAATGGTTCATTTAATGAGAGTTTTTATAAATCCATTTTTAAATCTTTTGTATTCATTGATGGATAAATGCATTTATAAATTCTTTTTACAATTCATGTTTTTAATGCTGATTAAAATATGAAATTAAGAAAATCCTTTATTACTTTTCCTGTGACATCACTGGTCCTCCATGTTTTTAGAGACTAACGTCTTCAGTAGGAACCAATGGGCTCGCAGCTGAGAGCCACAGACAGAGGAGGGAGGTCAGAAAACAAAGTAAAGGATACTTGTCGGTTGCGGTATGGTCGGACCGGCGAGATGAACCGGCGGTCCCTCTGGACTCGCTCCACCAGGCCGTGATGCCGAGTCGACCGGTTCGACTCCAGAGTGGAGGGGAAGGAGCCCTGAGGAGGAGAGAGAGAGAGAGAGAGAGAGAGAGGGAGAGAGAGAGAGAGAGAGAGAAACATTTATTCACCATTTCTAACGTGGAAAAAAGAAACACAAAACAGGAAACAGCAACTTGGCGAAAGTGTAATACAGCCGTTATTATTTCCTCATCACAGCTGCTGCTCTCAGCGCCAGCTGCCATAAAACCAATTACTCCGACTCCGATTTGAATTTGAAAAATACGGAGCTGGTGTGTTTCAGCGTCTTTGTAAACGGCTACAAGAGCGTCTGAGAGCCAGTAATATCGTCGGGTGTTGAGAGAAGAAAAACAGAAATGCTGCTCGTATGATTTATAGATTTCATTTGGAGGTGAAACACAGCAGGGGGATTATTCTTCCAGGGCGGCTCATTCGTCTTCCAGCCGTGTCGATGACTAGACAGTTGAATTACAGAATTAAAAGTTTTCTACAAATGCATCAGGTTCTGTTTTTTTTCTTCTTCTTCTTCTTCAGTCAAAACTAAAATGTTGCATTCAGGCGCTGGTGAAAAGCCAACATCTGGAGAGTCCTTCCAAGTCTGCTCCTTTAACTGTGGTGTTGCTTTCACAGACTATTTTCTTGGAAAAATGAAAATCAAAAAACCTGGAAGAAAAGTGATAACACATTGTGGAGACCTCCCAAATTCCTCTGCTCAGTGGAGCCGAGCCGCCAGAAACATCCTGCTACCAAATTAATTTCATGACCTCAGAGACACAGGAGGAGGAGGAGGAGGAGGAGGAGGAGGAGGAGGAGGAGGAAGGCAGACGAATCGAGGCTGAGAGTCAGCTTTGATATCGGTGGAGGAGAGGAAGGAAGAGACGATGATATTGATGAAAAACTTCCATTACAGAATGAGTGATGCTCATCCTGGGGCTGATGGGAAACAGTGATGAGTCAGAGGTGATGACACAGCAGACTGTGACCTCACAACACCTCCACACACACAACTGCTTTCCTCTTAATGATAATTAAAACTACATTTGTTTTGATTCATCAATTCTTCTTCTTCTCCTATTTTTACCACATTATTCTTCTCCACATTAATGGATGTAGAAGTTGTTGTCGTAGCAACAGCAACAGTGGTAGCGCTGGTGGTAAGAGCAGTAGTTGTTGTAGGTGTAGTCGCCATGGTAGCAGCATCAACAGAAGTAATAATAAGACTTTATTTGTGCAGCAATTGTAAGTTACAAGTAACAAAGTGCTTCACAAGTCAAATACAGATCAAAGAGAAATGTAAATGAAATGAAAAATCACGCAATAAAAGCTTTTTTATAAAAATGTGTTTTAAGACATGAAGAAGATAAAAACTGAACTGACTGAAGGCCACGGCCACGCTACTATCTCTTCTGCCACGTTATCAAGATGTCGAGTGCCGAAAACAGACACTGCTGGCCCCGTTTTATTCTGAAAACTCTGAGGTTGTGTTTTATTCTGAAAACTCTGGGGTTGTGTTTTATTCTGAAAACTCTGGGGTTGTGTTTTATTCTGAAAACTCTGGGGTTGTGTTTTATTCTGAAAACTCTGGGGCTGTGCTGTAGTCTGGAAACTCAGAAACTGAGACCTTTGTAAACGATGAGGTCACAGCCACGGTCTCTCCTGATTGGCTCTCCTCAGCCTGGACTACCAGTGGTGAACACAACATGATAATGAATGACAGTGTTACAGACCTTATTGTCTTTGCTAGCAGCTGTTGTTCACTCACATTCTGTGTTTTAATGCTACAACTGTCTTTGCTGCTCCTCCTTCAGAGGAAGCAATCTACTTCCTGTTTACACCGGCTCGCACATGCTCAGTGTAGGTGACTGCTCAGATATGTGTGTGTTTTCAGGTGTTAGTGTGGTTGGAAACATGAATGGGAGGACAGAGTGTTGAGTAAATCAGAGGAGGGATTCTGGTCGTCACCTGGAAGTCCTGAGGGTTCCTGCCGATCTGGTTGACGTTGGGTAATGAGCCGCCGTAGTACGGACCCTGACTCCGGGCGAGACGGAGCTTCTGAGCCTGAAGCTGAAACAACAGACAGACGAGAGGGAAAATTAACATTAACAGGTAGAAGATCAAGAAAACAATCAATCAGCTATTTGCAAGATCAAAAAAAAAAAAAAACTGTAAATGTTACTGTGAAAAACTCCCCAGAGAAGTGTGTGTAGAATAGAGCGTCACAGGAAACCACAGCATGGACAACCAGGGTGACGTGAACATACAACACTGACTCAAACAAGTTGTCAAGTACAGTCTGAGCACGACTGGATTTTTAGATGAGTCAACATGAGAAAGGAAAACCCTGATGGTTCGTTCACCTTCGCTGAGGTTAATGTGTTGTTTCAGTTCTGACTGTCCCTCCGGTCGGAGCCTGAGACTCTGGACCAGCCTGACTCTGAATGTGTCTTTCTCTTGATGGTTGTCTTGTCCTTTTAACCTTGTTGTCTTCATCCTTGTTTTATTGTTTCATTGTAAAAGCTATGACTCTTGTCCGACAGAAATAAAGCTTTTGATTAGAGCTGAACAACCAATCGTAATATTATGGAAATCACATTATAGCCAAGTGCAATATCCAAATAAATAAAAGATAAAATGTGTCACAACAGACCATAAATGAAGCAATGTGGTGTCCCTGCCCACAAATCATCCTCTGCAGAGGTAAGGGAACACGAAGGCGTCGTAAAGGCTCCGATACGATGGTGACTCACATCGCAATCGCAATGTCTGTCACATAGCTCAGCCCTGTTTATTATAAGTATCACAATCTCTATTATTAAATCAGATGATCTTATATAGATGTCAGTCGTCATTTCCTTCAACCCTCCAGGTGTATGAACTGTATTTATCTGTGCAGATTGTTTCTTTGTGTTTGTCACTTCCTGTATGAGTCTTATACGACACCAGAAACTCTTTAGGTTTCGCCCACTGGACGGCGACCTGTCCTGTCCTAACTCCCTGTTCACCGGTGGACTTGAAGGTCAGCTCCGGCCGACCGCCCGGTGCAGCTGCACGTCAATGATTCTCCTGCAATCACTGACTTTGTGTCCGGCTGTTGAAGTGTCCGTCATCAGAGCGGCTGACAGTGAGGTCAGCAGCAGCATCACTTCACATGTCACCGACGCTTTAAAGCAGATCAACCACCGCCGCAGGAGACGTTAGCTCCAGGCTAACAGTCCAACACACAAGTCACAGGACAACGCGTCGTACACACATCCTGTAACTAACAATAGATTATTTAAACAGGGACGTGACCAGCAGGAAGGACATCGAGGGTCAGAGGTCAAAGGGAGGTCATAATAATCAAGTTATAGAAGAAAAACAAAACAAAAACAAATTCTCCACCTGAAGAGACGTTCACTGACGCACCTGCTGATTTCAGGACAATATCTTCATGAATGAAATATTCTCAGTCTGCTGCTGTACTTTCCTGAGCCTGTCATGTACGGTGGCCCTGAGAGCTCAACTCTCTCCACACAAACACAAGAACAACCCAAGTGTTTCCAGGGGACGCTAAAAAGTGATGAACCCGGCTGGGAAATTAAAAACATTGACCACCAAGTGTGCATAGATGTATTCTAATACATCTATGTGCGTGCCAGGGTTTGTCACTTTTCTGCATCTTGTTTGTGTTGTGAGAGTTTGCAGAGCGTTGAGCTCTCAGGGCCACCGTACTTATGCTTTTACTGCTAAAATAAAACACGTTCCTCTGATGTTCTGACATCAGGCTCCTGCAGCCGCTCGCTCAGACAACACGTCTTTCTTTGAGACGGAGGTGTCGAACAAAATCACAGGACAGATGGAAACTGCCCTCAGACCACCAGCTTTATAACTGACAAAACAGGTTTCACTGCCGACCTCTGACTTCTCCTCACAACATACGGAGCAAGGAGAGTATGAACTGTGTCTGTGTGTAATGAACATTTAACACTGGGATTTATTTTAAACCTGCTGTGAACCAGATTCCTGTCAGAGAACTAAAACATAAAACACAAGAGAAACTGTTGAAGTTTGCAAAACTATAAATATGGGTGTATATTAACAGCATTTGGGCAAACACACACACACACACACACACGCACGCACACGCACGCACACGCACGCTCTGGCCCAGTTTGCTGGAGAGTGATGAACTCGTTTACTCTCCTGTCCTTGTTCTCTATCCGTCCGTGTCCTTGGCTCTGTGGCGAGCGTTTCACAAATAATAAACTCATATCAACAGCTTTGTTTTAAAGCTGTTTCAATGTTAATGTTAATGTAGCAGCCGTCATAAAAGCCTCAGTGTCTGAGTCCTGCTGCTGCCAGTGAACTAATCATTGTCCAGAGAGGAGAATCATTCCCAAAGTAAACCGACAGACGAGCGACGGGGGTCGGCCACGGTTTAGGTTTAATCATCCTCCTCGAGAAAAAAGAAAAAGATTCTGGCTGTAGAGTTGCTCTCAGAGTTGAGGAGTCAGAGAAAATGCCGACTCAGTGTTGATGAGACAGGAGAGGCTGATAAATCACAGGCACTGACTCATTTACTGAAGAACTCCATCGTTTATGCTGAAGGCTGGAAACTCATTCGTCACGACTCTCAGGCCGTGAGAGGACATCGTCTCTGAGCATGTTCATCAGGTTACAGCTGATCAGATTCTGTTTTCACTCTATCAACATATATTATTTAAATTAAAACTCCTCCAGTGTAAAGGTCTCTGTCCATGTGTAGTGTGATTATAGATCAGGTCTAGGTTCTATATTAATACTGTGAAAGTATCAAAGCCTCAGTCCACAGAGAAATGCTCACAGCCTGTATTCAGAAACTGAGCCTTAAAACCAGCCGTCAGGACTTCTGGAACTTTGTGATGTCACAACAAAGCAGTCACCAAGCCCCGCCCACCTGGACCCACCATCCAAACCTTTACAGGATTTGGTTTCTCTGAGTGTTTTTACCTGAAATCTGCTATATTTTTATTGGATCACTCAGAAAACAGTCAGCCAATCAGAAGAGAGGCTCAGAGCCTCCTCTCAACACAGCACACATTATGGTACAAATGTTAGTTTGACTTTCACTTTCAGTCTCTTTACATCTTTAAATCCAAAGGGGCCGGTTACACAAAACACTTTGGGTTAAGATTTTCCTCAAAGTCTGAGCTCTGGTTTCCTTAAAATAAAAACAGCTGCACAAAAACATCCATAAGTCTCCTTAAAATATCCACTTAAATATTTAAGGTTTTCTCCTTATCTTAGTCTTAAACTTAAGGAAGTTAAACCGTTGTACAAAAGAGCTTAGCGACCAAACTAAGGAAAAAACTAAAGCTACCTCTGACTGCATCTTAACTGCAATGGCCGAGTTAACGGCTATAAAACCAGGAGACACCCTTCACTACGAGAAACTGATTTTACGTCACAGATTTGACCAACAGCTTACGATTTGTCCGACCGTCTAGACTTTTTCCCTTGACTAAGGAAACGTTTAAGAGATTCTGTGCAACACCTTTAAGTAACTCCCTCAGCTGAGAAATAAAACCTCAAGTGTCATACCACTACCACAGCATTGGTCCAAGCATGCTGCATGCTGACTGGTTCACTGATACTGATGAGATTTACTCATTTCATCTTTAGATATCAAATGAAAAGGTCTTTTTCATTCCTCGATAGTATCTAATAAATATGGTCCGTAAATTTTTTAACTACATTTTTAATTTATTTGTTAAAATATATAAAATGTTTAACAAAGATCAGTATTTTTGTGTTTATATTACATGTTCACGGCTTTAGTTTTTGAGGTTTTTCCAGGAAACACATCACTGTTTGTTAAAATCTTAAAGAGCAGAACTAAAGCGAGGACGGTTCAAACAGCTGCAGAGGTGAGACGATGAAGAAACACCGAGCGTCTTCCCTAAAAAACAGAAAAACAAAACTCACGGTGACTCATAAAAACACAGAGACTAACAAACACAGACAGTAACCACTGTTTGCACACAGCGACACGACACTTTCAAACTGACAAACACCAAATGCCTGATCACGGCAGCTTTCAGTCATGACTTCAGCTCATTCATGCTGCTTCACACACAGTCTTTACAGAAATCAGAAACTGCACTGATGAGAGGAAAAGCCAGGTTTAAAAAAAAACACACAGCTAGAAACTTTAAGGACTTTATTTTATGAACCTTCTGAACAATAATCAAAATTTGGACAAGCTTCAATTGTGACACGCCTCAGACAGAAGACGCTCATCAAACCACCGACACACCTCGTTTTCCCTGCAAGTCGTCATACCAGCAGCGTTTCCCAGCACCGACACACACCAGCTCCATGTGGAAGCAGGAACTCGATCATATTCACTCCCTGGCGTTGGACACATCCTGGCCGCCGTACATTCACTACCTTTATCTGTCATGGCCAGTGTGTGTTTCGTCAAGTTAAACTGTTTTCTGGATCAGGAAATGGACAGATGATAATCGAATGCGTCAATAACATAACATCAGATGTCTGAGACAATGCTACTGGGGGTTTTCCAGAGGGGATGGGGGTTGTGGTGGTAGTGGTGGTGGTGGTGGGGGGGGTTTTGAATCTGGTTCAACTATTGCTGCAATGCAGTGTGACGTCAGCTGGCGGGGGCAGCTACGCACGGATTCCTGGTGGATTTACTTTGTAACACGGACGCTGTATTTCTGCTGATTATCTGATCATCCAAACGAAAGATTACACAGTTGCCACGGTTGTTCCGAGCTGTAAAATCCTGTCTGTGAGTTCAAAACACCCCCACAAAGAGCCCCCCCCAGTTTGCAACACTTCAAATGACTCAGCTGAATGCAGTTGGTCTCACACTGAGGGGGGGGAAACCAGGATGAATGGATTCTTTCTTATTATTCATGATTGAATAAAATTGCTGGTGGTGGTGGGGTGGGGGTGACGACTTTATTCAGCTTCTGAAGGGGGAGGGGGCACCAGAAAACTATTTAATCAATTTAAATATCAGTTATATTCTGACAGACTGAACAGTGACAGCTGTAGCTAATGTTGTGACCACAGACTGTAAA